ATCTCTTGAGCCTCAGCCAGGTCGAAGCTGCCCGTGTTGAACAAGAGATGGAGATCCACTTTCGCATACGAGGACCGGACAATCCTTGCCTTCGGGTTCAGCTGCCGAAGAAGCGTCTCCATTTGCACAATTTCTTTCTCGGAGATAAGGTCGACTTTGTTCAGCACAATGATGTTGGAGCACTCCACTTGGTCGATAAGGAGTTGCGCAATAGTTCGCCTTAAGTGAGCAAATCTTTGCAATGCAAGCTTCGATGGCTAGTTCACCTGGGACCAAACACACCTAACTAGCTCGTCTTCGGAGCGAACCCTTCCTGTCTGGCATGGGCCAGGTCACTGATCCGACTCCTCAGCACCCAAGACAGGCCTGTCAGTGAGCTTCTGACCCATATCGTAGTCCTGCAAGAAGTTCAGCGCATCCACCACTGTTACCAGGGTGTCCAAACGAGCAACGCTACCCAGGAGCTTCTTGCCGTCGTGCTCGCTCACAAATGTGGTCGCCACGGGCATAGGCTCGGAGATCCCTGTGCTCCTGGACGCTGTTTGGGCTCAAGCATGGCCGGAGCACGTATGGCCCAGCTGCTACAGGCTGTGTTATGCTATGTTTCCACGTGGCAAATAAATAACAGTATATACGTAACACCAAAAACCTGAATCTAACCAATGCTTAGGCTCTCGATGACCAGGTAATCAAAACGTCCCTCCGCGGCCAGCTTAGCCACGTTCTCTATTAGATCTTCTCGGAGCGTGCAGCAAATGCAACCATTTTGCATCTCTACCATCTTGTCCTTGCTTTTCAGGACCTCGGCGCTGGTCTTCACCAGCGTGGCATCGATGTTGACCTCCGCCATGTCATTGACAATCACGGCCACACGGAGTCCCTCCTGATTTTGCAGCATGTGTGTGAGCAGGGTCGTCTTCCCGGCGCCCAAGAAACCGCTGAGAACAGTGACCGGCAGAAGGTCGGAGGTTTCTTGCTCTGCCTGAGGCTCCGCATGCTCCGCTTCCTCTGCTCCAAAATCCATCTTCACAAACTCTTGCAACTCATCTCGAGAGAGGCGGTCCAAGGTGATAAGCAGCCGAGCAGGCTTTAAACCGACGTCGGTGGAGTACGGGGCTCGATGCAAACAAGGCCGACGTGTGAGGCGGCCTCCTTTCATGATCGACACGTCGCCTGGCTCGGTTGCCAACTCACTTTTGCAGACGCGCTGGTTCCAAGCGTGGATACGACCGTGCGCATGTCCCGGTACATCTGCTTCGCCAGCACCATCTTCCGGCTTGTCGTCTACGGACGAAATAACACCATTGCAGGACTCATAGAAATCCCAATCGACCGCTATGTTGTCGGCTAGAACTCTGCCGTCGCCGGCAAGTGTCATAGCAAAGCGAACCTCGACAAGATCATCGTGAAACTTTGTACACGCACCGTTCTCATTCACTTCGATTTTGACCTTCCACCGCAGATCTGTAGGGCTACCCTTTTCAGACTTCGTGCAAGCTTCATGCAGCTGCATCAGTTGCTGCAGCAGCTCAAGCATCCGCCGCACTGCCAAGGAGCTCCCTTTGGCGATCGCAGAATCAGCTTCAACCTCTCCTTGCTCCAGAAGCGCCTGTCCAGACTCCTCGAAATCCTCGGTTCTTGTCATCAGCAAACACTACGGTTCACTTACTATATCTTGTATAAATCTGCCGCATTGAAGTTCCTAAAGGGGACCCAGGGTCCTCCGCGAGCTGCCGCTGCAGTTGCTGATGGAAGGACTCGCCAGCTTTTCCCTGGTAGCCCTCGTAGTAGCACAACGAGTCCTTCACCGAATCGCCCATGCTGCAGTACTCCTGGGTTATGATGTGCCGAAGGCGAAAGTTGTGACTGGCTTGAAGTATAGCGAGTCTAGCGACATGCAGCAAGAAACAAGGCTCTTGCAACAGGAGCGCGCCACAATCAGAAACCCTAAATCACAGCCGATTGCGGAACAGAGACGCAAATCAAACTGCCAGACTTGCAACATTTTATGCAGTGACAGACCATGCAGCAAGTGGGGACCCCAAACTACCCAGAGACCCTGACCCAGCAATCCAGCCCAAATGCTCCTCTGCCATGCACTGGCGGGATTCAGGAGCAATGCCCCCACATCCCAAATGCTTCTTCCCCTCCCGACCCCTGAACCCGCAACCGTCCCAGGCAAAGACAATAGGCAGTACTCCTTCTTCCAGCCTCCCGAAACTGCAATCCTACAACCTTCAAAGACTTCGCTAAATCTCAAACTTTAGGCCTGCGTTAAATCCTCAAACCCAGTAGTGGAATTACAAAACACCACAAACCTAAACCCTGAATCCCTGCAGTCCTGTCACTCAACCCTTAGCCCGCCCAGACTCCTTTGCCCATTCCAACAGCTCTCTATCGCCACAGGCGTAACTCAAAAAATCCTTGAGGATGATCCCATTCCTGGAAGGCTCGGTCAGGAATGTGATCCGCCCCTAGGCCCTACGGCTTGAAGCTTTGGCAGACTTTGGAAGGGGGGTCGCTCAGTTTACAAAGTTCACGATAGGATCTGCACTGCAGTTCAGGGTCTGTGGTTGAGAAAACCATGTTCCGAAGCCCGAAACAAAATTGCTCAAGGCTCCTGTCTCCACGCCGAAAGGGCTTTGTCAAGTATTCAGCATCGCTTGCCGGGCCTACTTCCACGCGATTCATCCGCCGAACATGCGCAAAGGCAGCTGAGAGGCTCCAATGATAGAAGCAGGGCGCCCTAAGGCCTTGTCATGACGGCCCCTTGATAGCTTGGAGAACCCCAGCCTATCCGCAAGTGCGAACTTAGAATCCTAGTATGGTTCCAGGGGTCTCGATTTCAGATATCATCAACTGCTGTACGACATATTGGAGCCTCCCAATAGAATCCCAGCGCAGGAGCCAATCTCAAAGAAACGGGCGAGATGTGCTTTCAACCGGAAGCGGCAAGAATTTGCAATATCACTCGTGCCTCAAACCATGAACCCAAACTCCAAGAATGTAGATCGAAGCTTGAACCCTTTCTTCCTCAGGTTGAAGAATTTGTGCTGTAGGTGTTAAAGGCTGGGAGGCTCAGGGCCACATAAGTGCCGAAGAGTTTCAGCTGGAAGGCCTAGCTACTCTTTGGCCCTCCTGGCCTGAGCAGCCTCTGTACGGTCCCGCGACCGGTGTAGCAGAAATGCCACATCGGAGCTCAGTGTCCAAGAATGGGGCTTAGGTTGGTAGCTCTACCCTGCCTGGCAGCTGCAAGACCTAACTCCAAACAGCAGGCACAACAACTGCAGCCGCTTCGAAAGTAAAACGACTAGGTAGCAAATCTTTCACCAGCAGCGGTCATCATCAAGGCTTTAAATTCTGACCATGGCGACTATTGCTATTGGTGAATGAAGATTATGCAGCAAAGGCCGGCGACAAATGTGGCCGAGCCCTGGGCCTCAAATAAGTGACATGAGCTCTCTTCACAACTCTGGGTGTTGGATGGCCCACTCGCTGGTATTTTGGATGCGTTAATTTCCGGTAATGCTGCGGTTGTCGCTTTTCCTCGCTTACCATCACGGGAGCTTATGAGCCTGGGACTGCGGGCCTGCCTTTTCACTCACCAAACCTCCCCGAAGCCAATCCCTCCGACTCCACTCAGGCCGAAACGTCCAAAGCATCGGCCCCTGCCGAAGAGAAGCGCCTGAGAGCTCTGCAAAGAGAGCTACTCGTGCAGTACTCGAGACTAGTGACTAGTGCTCTTAGGAGGCCCAGGCCTTCAGGACTTGAGTGCTCCAAGGCTTGGGGTTTCTGACCAGGTTCTGAAAACTTTCCTCGTGCAGGTATCAGGCTTGACGGCTGTTTGGGGTCTTCCGGTGGAGTCATCGGATTTTTTGGGTGTATGGATTCTGTTTTGAAGGGCCTCTTGTACGAATTTGTTGCTGCCAATAAGGCTATTTCGGCAACCCTGTCCTGTTCTTACCGAAGCGATCCGATCCAAACTGACTGTCGCAAGAAACGAAGGGCTATCTGCGAGAGACCGTAACCGAAACCTGGTCGCCGGAACAAGCCTCCTGCGTCAGCGTCCCACAAAAGGACTCCCTATCCAACTTTCTTAAGCAGGTGAAAGATGTTTATGCAATGTTCAATTGCGTGGAAAAGTTCCCAGAGGCGGTCCTGGCCTGCCCAGTGGCCGAAGCGCATCGCGGCCCCAGTGCCGCAAGGCAGTGGCCGCGTGCCTCTTGCTGGAAGAGCTTCAGGGTCGGGCTTAGGCTTAGGCTCCGGGATATTTCCGGGATCACTTTTTTGGATTTCGATGTCTGGGAATGAACTGCTGCTACAGGTGTCCGGGCTTGGGGCCTGAACTGAAACCCGATCCGAATCCCACTGGCTCTCCATTCTCGCTCTTTTCCTTCTGGGATTTATGCTTCGATGGTTGTCTGAGAGCATTTTGCTTGTCAAAGTTTCGCGTCGGCCGTTGCAACAGAGCGAAAATCCTCGCGGATTTGGGTCGGCATGCACGCAGGCTGCAGATCGAGGAAAGTGAAAGGCTTGTGTCACAGGTTTGGTATTGCCCACTGCAACGTCAGACGTCGGGCAAGAAGGCAGCTGACCTCTCCGGCGCATTTTGGCCTTCAGGCCCCGGAATGGGAGGGAGGCGAGCCGCGGGAGGGGGGTCGGCAATGCCTTCCTAGCAAGACCTCATAACCTAACACCTAACACTCAACAGCCAGCAACCCCACGCTTTTGCGGCCTCTTATGATTTGCCCCACCCTAAACCCCTACACACAAAGCCCAGAGTCCTGGAATAGACCAGAAATACCTCCAAAATCTTGAGCCGGCAAGCAGAAACTGAGGAAACTGGAGATGCTATCGACGTGCCCTTCAGCCCAGAAGACGAATCCTCAAACCCGAGACACGGTCGTTTTCAACGACTCTGCAAGCAACACTTGAAAAACGTCACCATCCAAGTTCTAAGGACTTAGGATCGCACCCAACAGTCCCGAAAGGGTAACCTCCTAACCCGAAGCCCCGAAGCCAAAACTCCTACTCTTCTTTATAGGCCCTAGACCACGCAAGCCCTTAAAATCTAAGCTCTCTGACACGGCAGCGGCGCACCTCATGTCTTCACGGCGGCTGCAACGGAGCTCGGATGTCCTAAACGGCCCAGGGCCCAGGAGGCCTCGAATTCCTGTAGCTTCACAGCTTGCATCTGCACCTGCGAAACATCGCATGCAATTTGCTAATGAAAACTTCATGGAAAAGATGTCCGCATCGTTGGGTGTCATGGAGAGTTGACATAGCATAGTGAATAGGAACATATAAAGAAATGACAGTGTTGGCGTACCGAGCTCCTTGAAGAAAGCGCTCTTCTATCTGGAGCTCCTGGGTCCTAGGTTTGCAGCATGCTAGGTGCCTAAGACACAGCTGCGGGTCACCTCCTGAACAAGCAGTCGAAGTTCAGGAAAGCAGAGCCAGTATTAGCCGAAAATGCTTGGATCCGTACTATAAGGATCCTGACAGAAATGAGCACCCCTGATGTCAAGAACCCCCGAATTCGAGTTTCAATACCAATGGGCCAATGCTTCATGTGCAATGCGAGCAGATGTAGAACGATCGCTCACCAAAATCCAGAGAGCATGTGTCTCGCTTCCGGCAGCATTTATTCCCCACCAATGTTCTGAATAGGCTGATGATGAGCACGATCAGCATCGGCACCGTCGTCATCGTCACCGCCGTCCCGGTAGGAACCCAGGTTTTGACCACGCCTCAGGCATTTTGCCAGTCAGCCATCATTGCCCAAATACCGGAAGCTTGTGGGCTGCCAAAATCCTTCCAAGCTCTAAACTCAAATATTTGCGACTTGACAGATTATCCTACTATGCATGGTGACCTTACTTCGGCTACACTAAGATGAAGACTGATGATGAAAACGACAGCTTCTGTCCATGCTAGTCAAGGATTGCTTCGACTACGACCCCATGCTACTATATGCCAGAGGAAGAACGTGTACACCAACGTGAAATCTCCGAAAGCATCCCGCATTCCTATGTCGTCCTTTACGGCTCGGAACCGCAAAGATAACGAAAACTGAAGTCAATCTCAGCCACTGGACTGGCAATCGCGAGAAGCATACATACAAGATCCAACAAGAAACTTTAGCCACGTGAAATGCTCGCCGCAACATTGACAGTTCCGTGTCTTTTTTGGAGGGGCACGACAAATGCCGCCGTGCGGCTGTGCGTGGTCTGTACATCTAACGCTTCGGTGCTATCAAAAGTCTCTTTCTGTATAAAAGGACCAATTGGCAGAATCCGTTCCACTCCAACTTCCTTGTCCTGAACCAAGGAGCATCAAAGTCCTATAGGCGCTTCCATAAATGCTACGTGCCGGAGAAGCTGAAGCAAGGCTGAGGGCTGCTACCTATGAGCAAAGGAACCAACGAGGCGAAAATCACTGGTGCTTGGTTCTGAGATTCTTACGTCAGTCCAATGCAATGACTCCATGAACACAAAAAGCAACCTGAAACTATCACAAACATCTTCCCCTAGACATTCTAAGATTCTAAGCGCCAGGACCCAAGACCAGAATCCTACCCCTAAGTACTCAATCGCCTGAGGCAGGCAAGGAGTGTCTGTGCAGGATCCGTCCTTTCTTCCCTTGAACGTCGTCAGAGCCGGCCACACATCAAGGACAGAGGGCTTAATTGCATCTTGGGAAAACTACAGAAGGGCTTTACGTGATGTGTACAGCCCGGCCCCTCGGGCTTTTGCCGCTTGACTTAGGGGGCACCTTGCGGCAAACCAACCTAGGCAAAACAAGGCATGAATGCCCAGTTCAGAACCTCCAACAATCGCTGGGGTCTAACAACCCGCTAGAGCTGCAGCATTTAGAAGTTAGTGTGGTTTAAGGCCGTAGATGCCCGAGACCCTGGACCCTAAACATGAGGGCTTACGGAGTCTTGGTAGTTGAGCTCTGTTTACTAATGAATCGGCCGAGAAAGTGCCGGCAACTTCAGGCTGTGGGCGCCGCCGTCTGTCTGCGAAAGACTCTCCACGTCCGCACCCCGCGAACTGAATGAACCTTGATCCAATTCTGTAAACATTCCGGCAATCGGCCGTTTTTGCTCCGACGACCGCAAACTAGCTGAATTAATCACAAGCAGGAAAAATCAGGGGAGACTTGTGCGCAAGTAAGGGTGGAATATCCACAGTTTCGCCAATTCAATACGAAAGTGAAGCACCCCTACATCCGTCGCAATTCGTATGACGGTCGTATGACCCATATATACTCTCCAGACACATAAACGACTTGTATGTTTCAAAACCTCCAGCTGCACCTCCCGCTTGACCTGCCATGTAAGGCTCTCAGAGCTGCGCGAATTAGATCACTTCCGTTGAGGGATCGGTGTCTGTGACATTGATGTCATAGAGCTTCTGCATAAACAAGAGGCCTTGTTGTGCTTGGGCGTTACTCGAGGTTCTTTTCATGTAAGCATTTCTGAGGACTACTGACTACTGCATATTCTCGAAGGACATCTCATGAAAATTGAATGTGCAACCCTGAGAATGCAAAGCATCACAATTACACACACACAGACAGAATCTGGTTAACAGCCCGAGTCCATTGACAAGAGGTGGGGCCGCGCTTTCTAAGCCACTTCGGGGCTCTACAATCGACAAATCCTAAACCTCTGCAATATGAAATGCGACGCACCAGTGCGCCATACTGCCCCAAAAGCCTCGCACCGGGTAGCAATAGATTTTACTGGACCCCTCAACCAGCCTGCGAGTTAACCCCAAGAAGTCAGACTCAATTACCGTGCTACGACTCTGATGAACGTCACAAGGACAAGAACACGGAAGAGGAAGATTATGTACGCACGGCCTCTGCCAGCCTCGAAAGCAAGCTACATGCTCAGCCCCTAAACCGTACCCATCTAGTAACTGTCCCCAAGAAAGGGACGGTATGGTCCCCAGCCGGGCGCTTCCTTTTGGCTCCAGCCGAGACTCCTTTGGCCACGGGTGCGCTGCCGGTGTCCAGAAGTCTGGGGACCTCTGCAAAGTGGCCAGGGAAGCGCTGCTTTGCTCGCAAGCGTAGAGCAATGGAACTTGCCTGCATCAAACACAAGAATTTATCGTGGTCGTCGTCGCGGTGGTAATAGCACCAGCAGGAGTAGCAGCAGCAACAGCCGCAATTAGAAGTGCTTTTGCCTCCACGCAAGCCCCAACCGCCCAAAGCCCGTGTCGGCCCCCTGGGAGTTGACTACCCGGCACTACACAACATTCTATGACTGTCTGGCTGTTAGCAGGGAATGAAGGAAACTATATCGTATATAGTTTGGTGAAGGAACTTGAAGAGGTTGAGGAGATGGCATGCCACCTCGGACCCCATCTTGCTACGGTTTCAGCTCACGACAGATTGCCATTGAAACAGAAGAAGAAGAAGTAGTAGTAGTAGTAGTAGTAGTAGTAGTAGTCCTCGTAGTGGCAGTGGCTGTGGTAGCGGTAGTGGTGTAAGCCAAAGCTCGAGGCAAGTGTGTCCATCGAGTGGAAGCTCTCCAGTTTCCAAATAGTCCTGGATTTTCGACACACCTTGGCATCGCAAGGGCGACATCTTCGGTGATTTCGCTGCTCCCAAAGGCAAGCAACACTATAATCTACCGACGAGCTGCAAGCAAACTTCGCCAAGGAAAATGTGTAGTTCATCAACTGGTTGCTCTCTTCTGCCTGGCCAAAAAATGGCTCTCACACAGTGCCATCCGGCAGCGAACATTGTTCAAACCCTCCTCAAAAGAAACCTCACTCCGAGAGGAGTCGAAAGAGATCTGCAGATCTTCCGTAAGGGCTCCAGGAGTCCGTGGATTGGGGCTCCGTGACCCTTCAAAGGCCCTTAGACACAAACAACTCAGCCACATGTTAGCTGGTGGCATGTCCCGTCTCGGGTCTGCCGCGACGTCGTGCTTTGCCGGAATTCGGCGATCTAGGACTTAGGGTCCCCCAAAACACGCACATCTCCGACCACGTGCCTCCTTGTAGCTTTCTGACAGCATCTCACCCAAAGGTCCGATAAGGCCAATGCAGTGCCTGTACTGCAAGCAAGAACACATTCAAATGACACTCGTATGTGCATTCTTCTTCGATGCAGGCCATTGTCATCGAAGATAGATAGACCACGTCATGGAACAACATGGAAAGCCACAATTATCTGAGGCGCTAGATTCTTCTTACTCCACTCGAAGTACCTGCACTCGTTCTTTCAAGTGGCTGGCCTGGGAGGTGCGGAGCCTCGTAGGTGGGGTTACAAGCTTCGGCTTGACGACTGAGTTTTCAAGCATTTTGTGAGAACGCGAATGCACAGCAGATTCAATGGTGTTGAACCTGAACGTTCAGCGTAGCCTTCTTCAGCCGAGAGTCTCTTGGACAGCAACGCACTCACTGACGAGCATCATAAGACAAATGTGTTGAAGGACTCCCCTCAAATCCGTCACAAGCATTCAAGCAAAATATATATATATATATATATATCATATATATATATATCATATATATATATATATATATATATATATATATATATATATCATATATATATATATATATATATATATATATATATATATATATTTTTCTTTATTTATACACATATTTACCCACATACATCCATACATACATACATACATGCACACATATAATACATGATATGCGACACTCTTGTTGACATTGTTGACCTTGCTGCTGCTACGATTCTGTGCTAGTGTGACCATTACACTACCTTCTCACAAACATGTGCATTCCATGCATTCGAGATTCCATCAGCTTTCGAACATGCAATTACGCCGATTGAGTCCCCAAAACGGGCACCTTTAAGTCACCTACCCAAGAACCATGCCAGGAGCACCCGTGACACTCCCAAGACCGCCCCATGAGTCCAAAATGCACACCACACCGCAGCCGCCTAGTGTTACACAACCGTTTAGCTAAATGTCACAGCTACACGGTGACACTTGGCACGGTAGTAGTAGCGATGATCACGGTCTCTGCCTCCTCCAAACCCGAAACCCGCAACCCCAAACTACAGAGTTCAAACCCTGCACCCTGGACGCTCTGCTAGCTTAGATGCCCATACCCCTGCCACGTCATCAGGTGGCCCTGCGGAAAAGCACTGCGTGCCAGCTGTGCGCTGGTGTAAGCAGTGTTCCTAAGCTCGTCTTACTTCTCGAACTGGAGAAGGAAGGAAGCATCCCTTTTGGGAGCTTTGCTTTTCAGGGGTCGGGTCTGGGAATCCGAGATGTAGAAAGTCGTGGGGCTTTGGAGGTTGAGTTTTAGGGGATGGGTCTGCTGAAACACATCCACAGCAGGCACAAGTTCAAGCTCTAAAGTGCCGGCCAGCCTCTTAGCAGCGACTCCGCATCTCTCGAACGTTCATGCCACGTCGGCCTAACTTAAGCCCTCAAGCCACACTTCAGCTGAAGCTCGGGTCGTGCAGATTCCCCACGACCAGTGGGCTGATACTCGCAGAGCCGAGGGGAGGCACTGGACGCGCATTGCCCGGCCACGTGCCTTAGGAATGCTCTGTGCAAAACGAGCTTTAAGGGGTCCTAGCGCTTGAGGTTTGGAGGTTTGGCGATTTCATGGAGTTGAACTCTTTGTGTTGTTTTGGCTCCGAGGTTTGGTGCCTTCTCGTTTTGTCTCAGGATTGCGGGGCGCTGTCGACTGAAGTCTCAAGCTGGCTTCACAGGATTATGCAAGGGCTGCAAGGGTGTTCAAGAGCAGTCGTGTATTTCAGGAACTTCTACGGCCCTATCAGGGCTTGTAGAGTGATATTTTTACATCGGAGTTTGGGCCTTGAGGGGACCGGTGCTCCGAGCTTGGGAAATGTGCTCGACTTGGAATCTTGGCGTTTGATCCCTTGCATAGAGTTACCCTCGATGTAAACCAAGCTTGGGGTGTTCAGCAGGTGAGGAACCCAAGCCGACCCTGCTGAATAGTATCCCATGGTCGCAGTTCTCCTTGTTTCTAGCCCCTCAAACCGCCCAAACCCCGCACCTCGTACATCCCAATGCCCTAAACTACTCTCCGGGTCCAGGGGCTGATGGCCACAACCCAAGCCAAGGCCCAGGGTGTGCCCAAGGGCTGCATTGCTAAGGACTCCTGGGCACTTAAGGCTCACAGGCTCTGTGGCGTGAGTTCTGGAAAAGCTGTTGGACTTTGACTTTATGCGAAAACCCATCGAAATTCAGATGCACTTGTTCGGCTTTCCGGTGTAGGTTGGGCTGTACTGCCCGAGCACTCCTGCACCTTTGGGTCAACGCCGAACGCCGATCCTGAAGAAAGTAACCATCGATGAACAATCCATAATCTGGCAGGGCTCTTCTGACTGAACATCTTCCGACCTTCCAAAGCCAGTTTGAGAGCATTCTCATTTGCCAATAGTCTTGACAACGAGACCCCGGCACTCAACAGCAACACCCGCATCATCGTGTCCTGCACTTAAACCCAGCCTGAAGCTCGAACACTCAAGTGCAGTCCTTCCACCATCGAACAGTTGCCTCCTCGTTCAGTCGCCCGGCAGTGTCCGTCCCCATGACCAAGGCCTGCTAAAAGTAGCTGTCTTTGAAAGGCTTTATTACGGCTTAAGTAGGGATTAGCGTGGACATATCTTTGCGGGGAGGCATCCATCATCATACTTGTAGAGCCGAAAACAGTCGCACCAACGCAGGCAGACCGGCACTAATCTTGTCTATGCTACCTATCAATTACTAACAGTTAGCATTTACACGAGCAGCGGCAGCAGCAGCAGTAACGACAGCATTTGCTGGTTCGTAGCCACATGCAGTTATAGCTTCTTCAAACATATTGCAGAGATCTGACTAAGGCCATGACCACCGCGACAGCTTCCCCTCGCCTAGCACCACAACTGGCCATAATTAGGGCTTGTTTGCTTACAATGGCTCAAAATCACGAAAATTGGCCATTTGTGCGGGCCTCCCGAAATGGTTCAAACTCACGAAAATTGGCCACTGTGCTTTCCCAAATCCGCAAAGTAGGCCAATAATATCTAATTTTGGCCACGAGGCCCAAAATGGTTCAAAACCACGAAGACTTGCTTTAGACTGGCAAGTTCCCAAACTGAAGATGATGAGATGGCACGCTGATGGAAAAGGCCTGCTGGCCGAGCTGGAACCAATCCGGTCGAAAACGCCGGGTCGGTCGTCTCCTCTTTGGCTTTTGGGAGTTTCTTTCTTGATCTTCTAAGAGAAAGGTTCGTGAACCGCTTGGTGCCACTCTTCTTCGGATTGCATCATGTAGACTTGGGTGCTAAATGAAAGCAGCTCTAGACCTGCCGGTTGTCGGTACTGTAAATTTGTGTCGATTCAGTAGGGAATTCATAGAAGGAGGCAACCTGTGCTACCCCACAAGCCGATAGGGAGAAAACGCTCCAGTTTTACCAAGGCTCTCTTCAGTGGAGTTCGAGCTCGTGGAATTCGCATCTGAGTTGTTCGCGTCCGTGACGTTCGAGATCAAGTCCGAGATGTTCGAGCTCTTGTCCGTGTCATTCGATCTGAAGTCGGGGACCGTGGGCACAATACTCTCTAGCCAGTCTGGGCAATCATCGGCGGCGTTGCCCGAGGAAAACTTCTCCTGGCTTTCTGACGAGAAGCAGAACTACCCGTTTGAATCAGGAGCCTGTCACAAACAACAACAACAACGACGACCCGAAAAGAAAGTTCCGGCTTTGGTGGCCGAGTTGCAACACAGGCCAAAGATACACTCGCCAGAGGCCACGGGTACTTGAAGATGGCCAGCTTCGCAAGCTTCATGATCAGGGACTCGGCGAATAAAGCTTGAAGAATGAAGTTTGTGGTCTCGCACTGCCGGTAGTTGGAGAATGAACGGACTGTGGCAGATGTCTCGCGTTCTGCAAGAAGGCACTTCGATTGAGCTTTCAGAATCAGCGTGAAATGCATGGCTTTCGGCTCACAGTAGAAAGGTTCTCCAACTCTGCCTTGCTGCCAACAACATCAATGCATTGGGTTCCAGCAAAAAGACTCTTGAACCTGGTCCTAGAACACCGGGCTTGACACGTGAGCATTGATGGTGTGGACCACCGAATCTCCCAAGCCCTCGAACGCTACACATGGCCTTCCAGAGCTGGCACGTGTGGCCGTGCGGTGCCCCAACAAATCCAAACCTCTCTGGCAGCCACAGCCTCTGCAGAATCCTCGAAAGGAACCAGATAGGACTATGCGGTATGTATAGGCGACTGTGGCCAGCTTGAGAGAAAGGCATATACAAACATATAGCGACTGTCTGCCAAGCCCAGCAGCAGCTCGAGCCGGATGACTGGAGTCTTGAATCAGGCGCAAGGCCTTCGCAGGTAAACGGCAGTGGCTTTAGGTGTTTGGCTTCCCAGCTAGGTACTTCAACCCACGTTGAGGTTTCAGTTTTCATTGGTCAGGGCTTTGCAGGAATCTTGGCGACTCGATTCGCGATTCAACTGGATTTGCTGCCACCGGGAGCTCAGGGATTTTCCAAGGCTTGTGCCTTGGATTCAGAGAGCGGCGCCGCTGGGCAAAGGTCTTCACCTGTTTCCTGAGTCAGGCAATGAAAGCTTTACACTCTTGTCCCCTATACAGTCAGGAGTCTCAAACATGTTTCTCTAGGGGCTCAAACGCTCGGACTCATATCGGCGTCCTCATTTAAGGACCCCCTTGAACCCTGGGTCGTCGATGGAAACCAAGAAAAGACTTGGTGTTCGAAGGACACTGGTTTGAGACCTTTGGCTTGCAAGCTAGAAGGTCTCAAAAGAATTATTCACCAACAGGGACAGAGCGACTTGATGAGTTAGATTACTGTCAACGCTTTGCACAGCGGCGGGAACTTGCGACCGGGCGAGGACGCACTACCAAGCTTCACTTCAGTACACTTTCCAGCTAAGCAATCGAGATTGTTCTCGGCGTGACTTAGGTTTTGTGCAGTATTCCAGCGGACGCAAGGATTATGCACATAGAAACTATCTTCTTATACTGACCCCCTGTGCTCCAGCCCTGGACAGGCTTCCTGTGCTTCGACCCTTGGCAATCCCAAGGTTCTTGTGGGGACACAGGACTTGGGTGGCCAATGAACGGCTGGGTACAGCCTTGTCAAATACTTCACTCCGGAATCAAGTAGTTTAGGAGCCACCAACTTTCTTTAACATCTCAGCTTGCTCATCCCTGTATGCCAAAAACCCTACATCGTCAAGGTTCCCGATTCATTCTGAAAACCTGAGTCTCCTCAAAAGCGTAGGTGTCGTGAGTTACTAATGAATTGTTGTTTGGTGTTCCTAGCTGACTTCCATGTAGTGATGCGAGTGGCGAGGACGGAAAGGTCGCAGGCTGAGGTGATACCATTCCAGGTCGCAGTGATGCCCCTGGCAGCCGGTGTAGGGTCTTCAGGGATTGCGGTCACTCCGTTTTGTCTGTTGTTGTCCTAATCGCTCCTCTTTAGCCCCTTCGAGGAGGAGGACAAGCTTTACGCTGGTGTCTGTGCTTGTCGCCCCTGGCAGACGTTTTAGCACACTGTTCCCCAACAGTGTTGCAACACACTGTAGGATTCTTACGTTGTAGAGGGGTGCGGAAATTTAGATCACTGTCTGTGAGAGGTGCACCAGGCGGTCCAGACCCTACAAAAGACGTCGCCGCCTCGCAAAGAGCTCGCCTCTCCTCTCCACATCCGGGAAAGGGTCAACTACCTAAGTGTTGCTTGGGGTGTTTGGAGAAGGAAGTGCAGTCTCGGCATGTTGAGGCTTGCGGCTGGGGCTCGAATACTGTCGATGATGTGGAGGTTTCGCACACGTGAAGACGATGTTTGATACAAGGAGACATCAGTTAAACGGCAAGGTACCCCCGAAAATTCGGAACAGCTAGAAACGCAGAATGCGGCCAACATCCCCAACCAATTACAACAGGATGTTGTTCTGGGTGTTTCAGGATTCAGGGCTTAACACCGTTACTCACAGTCAAGCATTGGCCCATGCTGAAGAAGCACCCTGTAGAAAGGTTCGTTAGAATCGACTCTTAGGCTGGATAGCGGCTACTGTCATGCACATGGGCAGGACGCGACAGATGAAAGTCTTGTGTTAAGTATCCTTGACAAACACGCGTATGATGTCAGTCTGCTTCAATGAACAACTTTGATTATCAGCTTGAAATCGTGTTGGTTTTGAAGCGTCGTTTCCGCATGCCACGGGCTGGTAGCCAGGTACAGTATCTAAAATAAGTCGAACTTCAAACCACGAAAACGCAAGCCTGAAGAAAACATCATGCTCGATGATCTCTTGCGGAGCTGCTCCATCCAAGACCAGACGTCCCACGTACTTGGGGAAAACCGTGCCATACGACCCCCCAACCGCAGTACCTGGCTCTCAAAACTCGACAGCACGAAACCCCACTTGGAGTATCGGAGGACTCCGGAAGGGGGCATCTGATAGGTTCACGCTGTGGCTGGCTGAATCTGTGCAGCTTCCTATCCCTACAGGTCTTACTCCAGAACCCAAGTTCCTTACATTCAAACACATTACACCCGCGTCTCCAGCAGCAAACTGACGCGGGGTGGGCAACGACTTTGCCTCCAATGCTAGCAGAACAAAGCAAAAATCTAGCATGCCACGATGTTGGCATGGGGGCTCGTGAGGTCGTGTCTAGATTGTAGATGAACGTGATTAAGTTTCATGTCGCCAGGGGCACCGTAAGACATGCCATAAATAGACATCTTCGGCGCTCCGATCGCGCGTCGGAACTGGTCGATGTCTTGGGCCAGATCGATAGTCCCACCAAAACGGAGGACATTGTACTCCTTGGCTTTCGGTCGTGAGGTTTGGGCCTGTCGACTCGCACAGTGGAGATGCTTTGGACCTTTAGTGCTTTAGCCTTTGGAGTGTTGGGCTCCAGGCTTCAAGTTGTGTCAAGTCTGTGAATGAAGCTTGAAATTACCAGGTGGTTGTACGCGGAAGGGGGACTACACAGGTTTGCATAGAAAAGCACCCAATAGAGATGGTTTCAGGTTCCTTCGGCACGCGATGAATCCTGAACTCCCAGCTCAAAGTGGAGCAGCCAGGCCATTATTACAGCAAAGTTCTGGGATACGGATGTCAATCTACGGCTACCGGCAGCGGCTACACATGGATAGTGGTACGAATGACATAGGCTTCCATGCGAGCTGCAGGCCTTGGGTGTGGGGTTTGAGTTTCTCTACTGAGAATCTCTGTTATGAATGCTTGGGGCACCTTTGGGCTTTGATCTCAAGTGCTTGAGCCTCGGGCTCAAGGCTGAGCATAAACCCCAGCGCAAGTCATACCAATCTCCTGTCTTGATAACCCCGCATCGGAACTCTGTTCATTGAGAAGCCGACTCATGAAGACCGAAAATCCTGAGCCAAGCTCTGAGACCGGACGGTCGCCTCAAATATCTCTACGGCCGGAGGGCGCGTCCACTGGGTGAGGTCAACTTGTATCCTCCAACAGGCATTGGGAGAACGGGGCTGTGCAGGTTTCTTAACCGACGTAGGGGCCTGCAAAATCTACTTAGATAGTGAAAGTGTCTCCGATTCTGAGGCTTTGCTGGGTTCGGGTTCTTTCGGCGAGGTTCCGTGCATCCCTGGAACTATCAAACTGGATCACACCGTACGTTGGCACTGCGGGAGGCATCTTTTCGAAAGCGTCGACATGAGAACAGCAAGATAAACTCCTAGCCGTCAGCCGGTTCTGCACCTTAATTGAATTGCAGTCCGTAGGACAAAGGCTGGCTTGCAATCTTCAATTTTCAAGAGGGTTCGGTAATCCCACGAAGTTTACGGCTCGCCGTTGGTTTAAAGGCGAAGGCATCTTCTGTCTGTGACTGTGCTTACAATCGGCAACTGCTCGAGGCCAATGGTCCAACACACAGCGCTGACAGTTTGAACGACAAACCAAACAATACTGTGTATCCTTCGCCTCGGAATTCTCAGAATGGCTACAGCATAGTAGCATTCCGACATAAACTCAACCTACTCGGATCGTTCAGACTATTGTGCACACAAAACCTGAAGCATCGTCTTATGCAATTGCGGCAGGGTAGAAAACTTGAAGACTCAACGGAACAAGTCCACGTGCCTCAAACCGAACCATGTATATCCAGATGGAATGCCTTAAACTTGTGGTTCGTCCGAGAGTCGTGGGGCTGTGTAGCAGAGACTGTGCTCCAGCTTGAGCAGCCGGTAGAACCATCCTTGCGTTGCAGATTGCAGCTCAACGGACCTGGCCGATTGAAACGACCCTCAAAGTCTCAAGGCTCAGGACTCACAGCTGCAGGCGAAATCCTGGGATAGGCAGCCTGTGGCCCAGAAACTTCCCGACAGCGCTGACTCGGGGATGTAGAATGTTTTGGCCTCAACCCTAAACCCCAATTCCTGAGCCCTCAAATCGAGTTCCGAAACCTGAGGAGAATTGTGCCGCTGACTACGCCCCAGTGTCGAACGTAGGTCTCGTTGAAGGCCATGATGCCTGCGGCAGTAGGCTTCCACTGCCAAGGTTTGGAGTCTGTCCTGAATAAGGAAACCTTCAAGCCCGAACCACTTGAACGTCAGTTAATGCGGTCAATGTAAGGTTTCCGACCCCCTTGGATAGAGCATGCCACTTGACCCTGGCTTGGCGAAGCCGAATGGCCGAGGGCCTTTGGGGCCTTAGGAGTTTTTCAGGATTCAACTCGCCCGGGGAGCTCCCTCGGTTCAGAACCTGTGTCGAACCCACGAAAGTCCATCAGCTCAAACCCCAGAACCCAAAGATTCACGCTCTCACAACTCGGACAAGCCAGGCGAGGTTCCATAGGTGTTGGTCGGCGTGAAACTAGAACCAGAAGTCTCGGGCTTGGTGTTTCTAGGTTGCTCGGGATGTTGCGTTTGCAGGTTCTTGAAGCCTCCAGACGTGATTTCTTTTGGTCTGTCATCCAAATGGCAGGGGTCTGGTTGACAAGTGCGAGGCTTTCAGCAAACCCCCCAACAGATCCCAAAAGCGCTTGAATCATTTGACGCTTCAGGTTCGAGCTTGCGCCCAGGGCCTAGCAAGCGATTTCGAACCTCCGGAAAGTGGAAGGAATGCTTTGCGCTGCCCCCCCCACCTTCAAGCAAGACCTCGCCCAATGTGCATCAACCCCGAAAAGCGAGTTCGCAGCAGTGAAGATGCCATGGTCAACAGTTTGTTGAGGCAGACAGCAACCCTGAACCCAGATGCAAGCTCTATCTACTATCATTGCTTAGGCTCAATCGCCCCCGAGCCTGCAAAAGCTGAAGCTGAAGCGCCTTGCAAAAAGTGGACCATGGATATGAAAACGCAAACCCCGATAAGTCTTGCGCCACGCAAGCCTTCGTTGGTGTCCGCCAGCCCACCGAAGGCCAGAATTGGATACACGTACCTCAACAACATTTACGGACAGAGACTTGGTTGGGATCTTACCGTTCAGGGCTCGAGGTGATGTTATGTTACGACGATTTATGATGTTTGAAGTCTTGTAAAGGGGTTCAAGACTCTAGAGCTCAGATGTCTGCAGATTGGAATCTTATTTCTCTCTCTCTCTCTCTCTCTCTGCCGTTGCATCCATTGGGATCTTATTTGGGTGCTTGCAATAGAAGCTGAGAACTTCGCTTTGAGGTGTCGCATCTCGAATCAGGTCGGGCCAGGGCTCGGTTAAGCTACAACTCTTCGTCATTGCGCGCTTGTGCTTCGGGCTTACAGGGTGCTCTACATAACAGCCAAGGTTGTAGAGTTTCTAATGCTAAGAGTTCTTTTCCGTTGCGCCACATGCTTCCCCGCTCGTCTCCTCGAAAACTGTGCAAAATGACCGATGAACTTGGAAATGTTTAGACAATGCGTGTAGCAAGGATCGCTGCGCAGAGCTCAAGCTGCTCCCGCGAGGGTTTTGCTCGTAAACCGTGTAACTGCGACATAGAGACAAGGGGCTCCTTCGCCTCCGCAATATCACTTTCTGATGCATCCGTGCCAATCATCAGCTGGATGATCTGCCATGGCTTTGGGAAGTCAGGCAATAATTCAATGATTATGAGTGACAGCAAGACCAGATTCAGGGAAACGGGCTCAAGCGTGACCTTTGTCGGAATCGAGCACCACTACAAACCATGTGCATGGCGGTAATTCACGATGTGGTAGATGATGGCGTAGTCGCCAGGTTCTGCTATTGCTGACCTTATTGCTATTGCTGTCGTCGTCGCTGTTGCTGTTGCTGCTGCTTGCTGGTCCCAGTCTTAGCAAATGTCGCTTTCTAGTTGTAATTTCCGCGAATGTGTTGGAAAGCACGGAAACGAACCCAGCTCTGCAAATGCCACATGTAGCATGTACTGATCATGAAGAGGATACGGTTGCACATCCAGACCCTTTCGTCCCTGAGCGACAAGTGAAAAAGCCAATGTTGGCTCTCCACGTGGCAATCCTCGCACACAGCGTTTGCCTTGACATCGGTGTCTGCATGTAGAAGTCAACATCAAAAGATTCGGGCTTTTGGAGTTAGATTCCTTGTTTAAATTCGGGGGCCTACAAGGGAGAGCGATTCAAGCCCTGCATACACCATGGAAAAAGGTGCTGCGAGCGAGACGTGCCTGCTCCAAGTTCAGCGGTGACGTCACGATCCTGGGTTCTTGTTAAGGATCTTAGCCGAAGTTATCCGGATATGCAGTCCCTGAAACCGTTAGAACATCCCCACGTAGCCCAAGTTCTCGTTGCAGTGGAAGTCCGGGAAGGGAAGGATATCTTCTCCGGATGGATACCTGAGTCAGGATTTGAGATTTAAGGCCTTCGTCTTTCGGATGCTGAAGTGAAGCTGAGCATGCTCGGAAAACTCAAGTACAGGATGAGAGTTCTAGTGGTTGAACTCGGTTATATAAGTTCAAGTGACCTTTGACTTGAGCCTTGAACCCGACACCCGGAAACCTCTACCGCTGAGCCGATCTAAACCCATGAAGCCACAAAAACCTAAGTCTGAGCGGTTGTGCTTAACGGACAATTGAGGCTGTCACAAGTACGCACGAAAAAGACGTAGCGGCTCAATCGGAACGAGAACAGTAGAAGCTATTCTCCCGTCGGCAGTGGCAGTACTAGTGACCAGTAGCAGCAGCAGGAGTAGTAGTTGTTGTTGCCATGGGTGTGGCAGCGGAAGTAGTGCTCGTATTCAACTAACGAAACAGCTGTATGCCCAAACCACCACGTTACCTGAGCTGAAGCCGACAGCCCATAAAAAGGGAAAGACTGATACAATTTTCGCCAAACAAAGCAGCCCCGAAGTAGAGCAACTCCACAATGACAAGTCCTACACCTGAATCCCCACATCAATCAGAGCGCTTGAAGGGGCAAGGAGGTGTTGTGACGTTGTCGTCGGACGCTCCTGGCGGTCAGTGGCCGTGCAGAATCTGGCTACCGCCACCGCCTCTTAAGAAACCAAACGCGAACCCGGATGTTGTTGGTGCCATTGTCGTTTCACTTTCCACACGATGCCACCCCTCGAGCCCTGTAACTCCAGCCCGCAATAAATCACGGCACGCCAGAAAACTGCAGTGAGCAGCATCCCATACGGCTCCGAAACCTTGACCTGAAATCCGCAATCCTGCCCGGTCAAGCGGGCAGCTTAAACCTTACATATCGTTGCCAGGATTGCCAGGCACAATATGTTCGAGATAGGCCTGCAGCAGCCACATCGCATGAACCACATGTTCCACTGTGGGCTGCGGTACCACTAAGGCCTCACATGAATCTTTAGCAATTGCAAGACTTGATCCCACTATTTCTTCAACATTCGGCTTAAAGTTCTCAGGGGTCGGGTGTGTCTGCGTAATTCTTTTCAGACGTCTGCATCGCACAGACGTCTGGGGTCTGTTAGGTCAACTCTTTGCGAACAGTCGCTGTGCTGTCTGCCCCGGTGGAAACCTTCCAGGTGTCTGTTCCTCTATCTTCCTTTCTTAAGCATACCATGACCTTGCGCAAGCCTGTGTCGATGCATGTGGCGCCGAGTTCATCCTCGACATGGACATTCCAGCATTCGGACATTACCCTTCTCATAGTCGGCTGCTTTCATTTCGTCATACCTTGTCGAGCACACCGCAGTTGCGGCACCCTGAGACACAAGGACAGAGAGAGCCAACGCGCAGTCTCAGGTTGGGCCCGCCTTGAAGTCTAAACGCAAACACCCTGAAACACAAATCTTCTGATGTCTGATCCTCAAGCCCGCACTGCCACAGGGCTCGGACAAGAACAAAACGAAAAGGCTGAAGCCGCTGGGACTTGTTGAAAAGCTGTACTGTCGGGTGCTAGTTCCGAAGCCCGAGATTCCACAACCCCAAGCCCCTAAACCCGGGACTTTAAACCTTGAGAAGCCTTAGACCCAAGGCCCTACTCCTTAGTTCCGAAGGCTGCATAAGCACCGCAAATATTCTCAGGAGCCTTGTCAACTCACCACAACCGAATTACTTCACATAAGCCCTCCCTGATCTTCAAAACCCTCAAGCTCGGAACTCCTCCCAGTCCAACCCCTCGCTGGTCGATTGCCCACCAGTCGAAATGGGAGTTCAGATCGCTGGCATTCCCTTCAGACGCTGGGGTGGCGTTTGTTTCTTTCAGAGCACTTTTGAATGGGTACAGGGCTTATGTAGGCATTGGTTGGCTCTTAAAGCTCTGCGGCTTCAGGTTTGTATTCTCACACTCGCACAGGCAGGAACATGGTGACCCTAGAATACCCTAGAACGGCTGGAATATATACATCAAAAGCCCAGTTTTGGCATGATAATATAAGTGCATACAGATACCTGCAACGTACTTAAAGTGTTTCGTGTGAAGTTTAGGGTTTCAATTGCTGCAAGATTTCAAGTTCGACGACCTGCCATGCAAACACCAAGGCACACAGCGATGTCCAGAAGAAGTCTAGGGTGGTGGGTTGCTTCTACTCTGCACATGCAGAGACTGTGATACATGCTACGCCGCCCAAATTGACGCCGAACCCTAGCCCCCGACGGCGATTCGACTTCTGTAAACCTATACCCCCGAACACCCCAAACTTGAATCCTCACATTGTGCCATCCTTGGTGCCTTCGCCGCGAATGTCGAAGCCTTTCTTCGGCAGGCATTCCTTGCCGCTTCCTGCTGAAAGCTGTCATACAAAGACGTGAATAATGAGTTCTAAGCGATTTTTGAGTTTTCCGTCGGCGATGCCGGCGTAAACCCCAAATAGTGAAAGAGCAGACTCACTTACGCAAGACGATTTCAGCAGGTGGCACGTGTGCAATACCTAAATCCGTCTGAATAAGAACTCTATACTTCTGCCCGCAGCTTGGGGAATACACAAAAAAAGGAACCGGAATGAGGAATCATGTGATTAAATATTCAGTCTCTGTATTACTGGGAAGCGCTCTCATTTTACTGGCAGAGTACGATGGGTCGGGGAACCAGGCGACACCAAAGTACGTCTAAGTCAATCAAGGCATGTACAGATCAGGTTTGCCGAGAGCGCGGGTGCTCAACACATTGAACCCAAGGTCCATTGTCAGGGTTCTGGTTCGTGAACCTCCCGCGTTTGACTACGGATAATGCCATGACATGAAACTACAGTGCATGCTGGATCTTCTATAGATGTGAAACCCTTTCAGCCCGAGGCCTAACACAAGAATCTTGACTCTACTTGAGGGGTCTGAACCATTCGAACTGTGTAAGGGCTTCATTTACTAACCATCCTGCTACAACGAGCCGGAAATGACAGACAGGCAGAGAAACTGATAAGTCACATTCCTGCAGCCTTACTTGCAGAACTCGCAGCGCCATCCCCTTGCCATCCAAGAATCACATTTGCCTCCCAAAGGCTGCACAACACCGAAGTCAAAACCCTCCAGCCCTAAAGACAACACACGCAGAAAGCTTTCTAAAACTAAAAGATTTGAACCCCAGCCCGTCACTGACACCCACGCTGAAGCCCTCTTTCAAAGCATAACCGAGGCCCTCAACCAAACTCTTCACCCCGGAACTTTAAGCAGACCCCATAAAGATCCATCAAGTCATGCCTTTGCGTGATCAAGAATCCCAGAAGCTCTGCCTGGCCCACCACAGTGGATCAGCAGTGGCCCGTTCTTGGCAGGCTGCTCCGTCGCAGGGATTCCATTTACCTCATAGGTTCGTACGCGAATTACGGGTTCTAGGGTTCCTGCGCTGCGGCTCTAGGGACATGGTGGTGAAGGGCCTTGGATTACGGAAATGTCGGAGCCTAGTCACGGTTCATGTAAAGTCTGAAACACGATTTTGCCGACCAACTTTTTGCAACCACTGAAGCCGCGAATCCACAGCCCAAGGCCTCAGGACAAACCTTCAACCCAGAACCCAAGGGCCAACATGCCAAGCCCCACCTTACCCGAAACCCTCAATCCTGCACTCCAAAACCTACCCAGCCACGACACCCGGAGGCAAATGTAGGGCACGGCTTCGTAGGGCGACATGGCCAGGTCATGTACGAGGGGAGTCCTGGGTACTCGTTCGCTCTCGCGCTCTCGCTTGCAGAGGGGTTTGCAGGTGGAGCATTTAAGGCTTCGCGGTTGAGGGTGAGGGTTGAAGGCCCTTGCAGGGTTTCTAGCTTTGTCCCCACCCGCTGCTGACCATGTCGAAGGCTGAGGGTTTGGGATTGAGCCAACTACTATGGTAGAGAAAAAGATTCCCTTCTACGACCTTGCTCATCATGAATACTGGGACCAGGCTCCTAGAACGAAAAGTGCACCGTCAGACATTGCAAACATCCCGCAGGTCATAGAGGCTAAGCAATTCAGAAAATTCAACTAAAGTCAGGCGCCAAACACTGCCAGACAATGAAGACACGATCTTTATTGCCACTGGGATTCTTGAGGTTGGCTGTTCAGCAGTCGTGGGAAGAGGTAGATCGGTTTTGGGCTTCGTATCGCATCGACCCAGAAGCAACAGAAGCTTCATAAACAGACCATAGAAAAAGGCTTCTTAAGGATACCATGGGGCCACAACTCGAAATCCCCTAAAGCCCCAAAACCCTTGGCTACCTAAGGCTCAACAGAGAGTCTTCAACCACCCGCTGTAGCGCTCGTGGCCACCGGGAAGTATCACGGTCTCCTCATCCCACACCTTGGCTGGTTTACAATTTACAAAGGGTCCGTTGCCGCTTTTGTCGGACACTGCGGGAAGGCTCACCTTGAACAGCTGCAGAGAATAATCGGATCCGCTCCTCCCAACATCCCAGCTCACAAACACAAACCCTAAATCTCACTCGTCAAACCAGAACTGGTAACAACAGCGTTGCCAAAACGGCCGAGGTGACGAGGATCTCTGGATTCCTGAGTTCTGCTTGCAGCTTCTCGGGGGTCTTCACCACTACAGTTTTTCCAAGAAGGAACCTGTATGCACAGTCTCCACTATGCACTCTTTCCACAAGGTTCCTTATATCTTCCAACCAAACTTCACGACCATGAGCCATAAAACCTCCATCTCTGGCAGCTTGTTGTGGTCCCGAAGCTATTGAGTTTCGGCACTGGCATCCCACATCGCACCTAAGGCCCTAAATGTACTAGAACTCAACAGGCTAAACCTGAAATGCTCTTCTCCCGCTCTGCAATGCATCGGCCTCGTGTCTAGGGGAAACCGCGAGCGTCTGGCTTCGGCTTGGTCTGTCTGTGTGTGTGTGTTCGTTTATACCACTCGAGGATTCTGGGGCGTTTGGGCTCTGAGCATATGCGTGGCACAAATTAATTCCGGCCGGCCCTGTAAGAAAAGGCTGAGTGCCCCGCACCTGCGGAACTATGCAGCTACAAATCAGTTCCATCAGCCTATCGGCAGGCGAACAGCAAGACAAACTGTTAACACATCCTTCTGGAAGTCGACCTGAATCATGGCATGGCTTGAGATGCTGGTTCTGGTGCAAAACAGTTACTATTCAAGATCCAAAGAAACCTGCGGGACCTAGAAGAACGAAGGAGGACCAATACAAAAGACTCAGAGTACAAGGGCGCTCGTGAACATGTCATCCCCTGGCTCTACTTGCAGGGCTCATGGGCGCTAGCAAGCGGATGACAACTAGGGTTATATGAACCCCAAGTGAGTATTTCTGACGAGAACTCCATGTACCACCTACTTTCAAAATCTCATGCGCTACTAAGTTTCCAAACCTCAAACTCCGAAACATTGCCAGAATAGAACACACACCCCAGGCCGTTCTTCAACTCAAACTTTGTGCCATGAGATTCGACCAGCCAACAATTGCAGTTCAATGTTCCCTTACAGCGCTACGATCAGCTGAGCTGTGGTGCTGTGACTGGTGCTGTGTGCCCCGGCCCTTCCACTCGCCAGCTCTTTAGCCTCCTAAGCTCCAGGGATGCAGGATTGCAGGGTCCACGGTTTGCGAATCTGAAGGCTGGCGGGACTATGACTTTGCCGTCCAAAAGTCGGGTTCAGAAAGGACCACTCCGCCGCCTCTTCGCTTGAGTGCTTCCGCCCTCGGAGCCGGGTCTCTCCCGCAGAGCCGAAGCCAAGTCCTTCCAAACACTTACGTGGATTTAGGGCTTGCGGACATCGGCGGTTTGGGGGTTTCGGTGCTCACTCTCGCACGGACCAGGCGAGGCTTGTGGTTGGAGGTCTGCTGGTCGACGAGACTAATTTGCCAAGAGAGCTTGTGCGACCAATGTGAGCAACAACTCGGTGTAGCGTTTCGGCCTCGTGTCGTCCGGGCTTTCACAGTTTGGATTTGGGAATCATAGGTTTCAACTTGGGTTCCGGGCTTAGTTCAGATTTACGGATGATGAGGATCAGGAGGAGTGCTGTAAGTCTTCCCTCAAGTATCAGAGTATCAACAACTGGTAGTAGGACTCGGCCCGATTTCGGTACACTTCCTAAGCCCTGCCCTACAGGACGCGATCTTACAACATATCTGCACGGGGATGCGGCGGGAGCGCGATTCATCAAGTTAGACAGCGCCAAAGTCTTGGAGTTAATTACAATGAATCAGAAGACGGGGCTATTGGCTATTGCGGGACTGTAGAAAGAACGCGATTTTGGTGAAAGATGTGCACCACTCCACGCAGAACCGCCGGGGGTGCCTGCCTGGCGCACCTGGCCCTCACGCGAACCAAATGTCGTTCACCCTGACAGTAAGGACCCCATAGTGCTGCCACACTGCTTACGGCTCTGTTGCCAACATATGCCAACATAATGTGTTACTAAAGATCCATTTATCGGGGGCATGCTCGACTGCGATGTAAAGATTAGCCTTGGACGATCTCTTGTGCGATTTCGTGGTATCCAAATTTGGAATGTGTGCGTTGCTGCTTGGATGAACGGCTTGAATTTGTTTGAATTAAGCAAGGGCCTCCAACACACGGAATACTTTTGTCAGGCTTACTGTACCACCAGTACCATCGTACTGAGGGACGCGGTGGGAAGCTGCTACTATCCCTAAGCATTGCCGCCCGAGAGGATACAAGGGTAGTTGGGGTACGTAGCAGCATGAACAATCAGCCTAAGTAAGGCATTGGGGCCCGCATATACGATGCAGTACTGTGATAATAAATTTCCTTGACTAAGAACAAGAAACTAGAGTCTGAAGCTACCACAAACTCAGATATACAACCTCTAGATTGCAGATAGGCGTTCTGCTCGACCTTCAAGATTTGAATGCTAGGCGCGTTTTGCTCGGTGGATTGAAACCTCCTCCCAAATAGCACAGGAAAACCAACATTTGCGCTAGCACAGCGCGCCAGGCACATGTTGCTTTGCGGACATCTCCCCAAATCGCCCTAGCACGGTGTGCTGGGAACATTTTGCTTTGTGGAGGCTCGAAAGGCGCCGGAAAACCTAAAATCAGCCTCGCGCACAGCGTACCAAGCAAATGTTGCTCTGTGGGACCTCCTTCTCCCAAACAGCACGGAAACCAACAAAATCGGCCTGTGTGTGGAGGCCTGCTCCTCCGTGCAAGCCTCCCCCCCAAAGCAGGGAGATCCCAAAATCAACCTACCACAGCGTGCTCCTCAGAGTCGGCCTAGCAAAGCCTGGTGGCGATTTGTCGGCCTCCCCCTCCCGAACAGAAGCATTCAGCAAATAAGAAAGTCTCTTGGAGAGTCTCGGCCAAAACAAAAATGCTTTTTCCGATATCCGCAGTTGAGAAAACTTGACCCTCGCGTCTGCAAGACGATTTCTGCTTCGCCGTAGGGGACCCGTAAGAAATTGCATTACTACGAAGCTCGACATTAACGTCCTTCTGACCACACAGCCTCAATCCTACAGTTTGTCTTTCTCTTTCCGCTGTGCTTCTTTCCAGTCCGACTGGTCCTGCACAAAAGGCCGCCAACACAAGAGGGAGGTGCACCATGGCTGCAGCGAATCTAAGGTGCAGCAACGCTCTCTTTTGGAGCGAAAAACCTGGGCCGAAAAAACACAATCAGAGATGCCCAGGCTCCAAGCCCGACTTGAAGACTCCAGGTGTGTCGATTGGAGCAGACAAGTTGGATGTCGTAACTCTGCCTCAGCTGAAGCTTCTTAACCGGTCGAAGCATTTCTGCAAAAGAACGGAGCTTACTGACGGCTGGCCATCGCCAGGCCCCTTATTGCAAAGCCGAGAATGGATAATTAAACCAAGAGCAGCGCAGCAATTGACCCAAAGTGCAGAATGTTTTCTCCCCCGTCTGACTGAGCCGGCGATGTTTGGCAGGCCTGCACCAGAGAAAGAATCACTACCCCCCTCGCCAAATGCTATTCGTCGCGCCACCGGGGATTATGTGCTGACGACAGCACTGATACGTTTAGTCCTTCTGCTGAGGGCTCCGTTTAATCATGAATGTGATTGCTGAATGGGCTGCGGTTCTTTATTCACAATACCTGTCATTAAACTGGTGCTAGTGATATAGCCATTCCTCTTGCACCATCTTCGCTCATACTCTTCCCAAGGGATCCGTCATCCTCATGGGCGGCCTTCCGCTCTCATCATGCCTTGTTTGACTTACGAGCCGCTCCTGTAAATTCAAATTCAAGTGTTGGCCGCCGCTTGAGGGAAGCTGAGGAAATCCAGAAAGGTGTGTTCTTGACACGCCAATAGGTAGACAGCCAAGCTGAGTGAGACTGCAAGTGCCCCAGTTTCCGGGGAACTGTTTTCCGTCGGGTGAAATACAGGCATCTCTCCAGCAAGCAGGCGCAGCAGGAACTTTGGAGGTACGCTGGCCTGACTTGATCTTAAGCAAAACTCTGGTAAGCTTCCCTGTGTCAGTTCAGTGTGCCGGCTGTTCGCCTCAGTCATCTTCATCCTGCTTCAGCATGGGCTTTGGGCTGAGTCGCTTTTGGTTCCCTTGATTGCGGTACATAACCAAGTAACAAGCCCGAAATGCACCCAAATCAAGAAATCCTCCAAGCCCAGCTTTGATGAGCTTCGAACCCGTGCGAGGTCATAACAGGTTCAAACTCTGCCGATGGTATTGAAAACATGGTGTTGCAGGGCCCAGGGTAGGATCATAAACTCACATCAGATAATTGGCTAATGATGCGACTGCCGATGCGCATAGGAAGACTAGCACTGGCTTCTCGGAGCTACCAGCTGGCTACGCATCTCCAAAAGCTAGGCATGTAAAGTAGGTTTTTAGGGTTTAGGTCATCTTCGGAACTCGGAAGGCCAGGCAGAGAATCAGTTTTACTAGACAGCCAAATCTCCAAAGACGTTGACGCAAGCACAAACACACCCTTGCCCCGAGTTTTGCTTTCGCATTTGGCAAATCTTGGTCTCGGACCATCTGGTGCAGGCTACTTCGAAGCCGAGCGCAGTTTGCAGCAGCAGTTGCTCAACATCTCGAAAGCTTGATTAAAAGCCCTTTGACTTAAGCTAAACCCTTAACCGCCACAGGAACCTTCAGGCACCTGGCTGCTGCTCCTCGCGCAAGCAGAAAATTGCCGCAGGCTCGTGAAACTGAAAGCAGTCGAGAGCGCAACGAATCGAAAAAGCTCCTTGAAGCAGAACAAACAACAGCTCAACCCTCGGAGACTTGCCAGGGCGAAGCGGTGGGACATGAAATTAGTGGGCAGTGAACAGCCGTAAACCCTAAACCCTAGACCCGAACATCAACATGACAAACCTGAAACCCTGAACTTCTCTGAATCCGAAAGGTTTTGAAACGGCCTAAAAGCAACATTCTAAGGAGCCAAGCCCTCCATGGAGAGACTCGGGGGAAAGCCATGATGCCTCTGTGCGGTCTAGTGTGTAACCCCCTACCGTAAAACAGTGTAGTACTAGTATTTAAGGAAATATAGCTGCACATATAGATGCATATATGCACACCGGCAGTTTTTACATGTATATATATATATACATATATATATGTATATATATATATACATATGTACATATACACACATCTTTGACTGCTATACTGAATACAGCTGCACATAACACGTTTATTTATAGATATATGCATACGTATCTCTTTAATACATAAACGATGAAAAAAACACATAAAGACAGTTGTATGTAAGCATGTACATAGAGACATATACAGATATCCATACAGATAGATACATGCATACGTGCATGCACACATTCATGTGTATGTGTATCTCAAGACTGTGCTCATGCTCTGCCCCGACCGGCCTCCAAAGGGACGGGTATACCATTGGGGGCGGAACGCAAATGGTGGCAAATCTATATTTGTATAACATATATACGTGCTAACATGTATGAGTGGGTGTGTGTACATGCAAACGATACATTTGGGAAATCGCTCTTGCGGCATAGATGGTCCCCCCTTCTCTCAGCTCTTCAAACGATGGCCGAGCTTGCGGCTCGCTTTCCTTTCGCATCACCCGGCCTCAGCTCGTCGCTGTAGAGCTCGTCGTCTTCATCCGCCAACTGAGGACGGTGCTTGGGGGCGATAGAGTTTAAGGCAGTCAACACGGCCTTAGGGCTTTCGGGTTTGAGGGTTTGGAAGCTTTGGAAATCTCTGGCTTCCGTCAGATCATGGTCCTTTTCAAAACCCAACTTACAACGAGAGATAGCATCGAACAGCAGGCCCACAGGTTCTACTACCTCATTTGCAACCAGGCGTCTTCAAACACTTAGGGATTTCGCCTCTCATTGTTCAGATTTAGGAAGACATGCCTGTAGGGCTTAGGGCTAAGGCAGGTGAAGGACTTTTCCCCCTTTTGCAGAAAAAACGCCCGCCTCTTCCACCACTCGGGGGTCGGCCGGGTTCGTGAATCCATCCGGAGGCAGCGCACCAGCTCCGATGTAGGTCCTCTACTTGATGCTCGTTCGGGATTTGAATCTACCCCCCCCCTCAATAATGGAAAATTCAGATCTTCAAGTCTTAGACATTGTTCTTGGCCGTTTGCCACCTATGTTAAAGCACCGGGGTCCTGTAGGTGCCCTCGGCATCCTTGGCGGGTTTGATGCTCAGGATCCAGGTCAGGGCCCAAAGCACGGCGCCACCGATCACGAAGAGCCAGATCGGAAAGCTGATGCCCATGAAGGTGTCGGACTCCTTGTCCAACATCCCCTGCCTTGTTTGGCCGATTTCCTCGAGTGGCACATCCTCCAACGGTGGCAAAGCGGCAGAAGCCGCCTCGATGTTCGCAAGGAGAGCCATGCCCATTCCGGCCACCGGGGCTACCGAAACCTCGCTCTTCTTGCCTGGGGCAGCCACGAAGCACGGAGCGACCACAGCCGCAAGGGCCAGGATTGCTGGGAGTAGGCGCAACTTTCGCATCGGCGCGGCCATGTTGGCAAAAGTGCTGGAGGAGGCAGAGGTAAAGCCAGAGCCGGGATTTCCTTGAGCCCAACTTGGGCGTTTGTCGAAAAGGACTCTGCTTGAGCGACTTTAGTCACCTTGGTCACAGTGCCACGGCCTCTTCCCCCAAATACTTCTTGACGCCTTTGCGGTAGAACCTGGGCGCACACAGAGGGCAGCGATCTTGAGATTGCACCCCGAAGCTGGTGAAACCTTTGCAAGCACACCAACCACCCACCACCACCACCACCACCACCACCACCACCACCACCACCACCACCACCACCACCACCACCACCACCACCACCACCACCACCACCACCACCACCACCACCACCACCACCACCACCACCACCACCACCACCACCACCACCAACAGCAACAGCAACAGCAACAGCAACAGCAACAGCAACAGCAACAGCAACAGCAACAGCAACAGCAACAGCAACAGCAAGAACAAGAAGAACAAGAACAAGAAGAACAAGAACAAGAAGAACAAGAAGAACAAGAAGAACAAGAACAATACCACAGTCACAGACAACAGCAGCAACACCACCAATAACACCACCAACCACAACAAGACCAGCAACGAATGAAGAAACAGCCCTGGGTAAAAGGAACGAAGTATAAACCAATGACGTTCCAGCATCAATACTCCAAAAACTCAATACTAACAAACAGACCAACACGCACTGCTCAACCTGGGACGAGACTTCGCAGATTAGCATAGCAGCTGCAACAGCGTGAACTAGACCTGCAAACAATGAGAGATGGCCGTTGCCCATCAACAGGCACGACGACATGGGCAATTCTAGCAGCAATGGGCGCGACATGGATGGACACACACGACAGCTACAGTTTAGGGTTTGGGCAAAACCGGTGCGGTTGTGTCTGTTGTCGTTGATGTTGTTGATGATGCTTGGGCGGGTCTGATTCCCCGGCTAGATGATAGCTAGAGTGCTCGTGCTGCTGCGAACGGACTGTCAGCACCGCCATCATAATTATCAGCAACAAGAGAAGAGACAAAAGATGGCACCTTAACTCCTGATGTACACATGAGCGGTAGTCTTCACAGGTCTCTGACTCATGGCTCGTGCGGAAGATGAAGTCTTTTCGTTTCGCCTTGAACCTGGCGCAATATGTGCGGGGTCATTGAGAGTACATGTAAGGTTCAGAATTGCCTCTGCGATTCCGGTCTGCCCGAGTGGCTGAAGCTTCCAGATTGCTTGACGAGTCGTGCAGGCTACAACGAAGAGCCCAATGTGCGCTTCCGACCAACAACCATTCCGCAAATTCGCGAGCCGTGCAGTCATGCAGCCGCTTGCCTTAATGCGACAGCCCGTATGAATCACAGGGGCGCTGCAATCATGGTGCATGGTATACAGGCAGCAAATCCTTAATCCCGAAGGCCTAAGGTGAAGAGTTCGGCAGCTAGCGGCTTAGCGTTTGGAGATGTGTGGTTGACACTGACACTGGAAGAACGAACGTGAGTTACTGCTGTCTGTCGCGGACAATATCAACCTCACGCAAAATAGAGCTCCAGATGCTGAAACCGTGTCAAGCAAACCCTGCAAGCAGAAAGAACCGAATTAGACGGCACGACAGCTTGCTGTGTGTGGATCGCATGGTCTCCACCTCAGACTCTTCGCAACCAGGTAGATCCAACAACATTGCCGAACTCCCATAGCCGGTATTGGTTAAAGTTGTTGCGCACAAGCAATATTCCTATGAAAGCCCTAGGGCGCACCAAACAAATCGTCAACAACCAATCAAGCCTGACGCCTTCGAGCCAGAGTTTCAAAACCAATGTAACCGCCTGAATAGTCAGACAAGGATATTGGGGGGCTTTTGCACTTGTATCCCGGAACAACAATGGGATCATGTTGATTTCCCGCTACCGGTTTTCGCCGCACTACACTCAAGAGAACGGAGCAGAAGTGTTTTACCCAAAGGCACTAATTGCTGTAGACGAATGCAGCAAGCCTTAGCCAGGAACACGCGCAAAGCTCTTCAATCTACTCGGAGAGGCTGCCTACCGACTGTAGTCATTGGAGCCAAGTGTTGTATGTAAAAGTGGCAATCAGGACATAGACTCGAATTCTTTCGAATCGGTCGATGACGCCCGGGGATGCCAGCGAAGCATCATGTACGCGCAACACGCGACCTGGTAACCCTTTTACAGCCGGACGAACCCATGCAAGTATTTCTCATGACACGTCCAACTCCGAATTCACCGGGCTTCGTACACTCAGCTAATCTTGCGCCTGCTTGTTAATCTTTACTAGTTAGTAGGAAGAAGGACCAGGTTTCTGTTGCGACAGAAGCGTCACGCACTGTTATATAACATGATTCTAACACTCCTCTCTGCTATTGTGGTCTTGTGCTACTACTGCTCCGATGCATGCTACGTAGCCTCGATGGCTGAAACTGTACCTTCATTTAAGCGCGCAGGGCCTTTGTTGTGGCTTCGAGCCTATGATTCCACACTCTAGGGCGACTCTACGGTTGAGGAGAGGTTCAAAGAAGCCCCTGCAGCCCTGAGCTTGCAGCGACTTTACGAAGCGAAGCAAAGAAGAGAAAGCCCTAGGCCCTGAGCCCGCAGAAGCTTTGTTTCCATGCCGACACATCGCAGTCTAAGTTTAAGGGTGAACAGTCGACAGCCTCTTGTGCAGCGCACTTCGCACGCCGGTACCCGAACTGCGCCAGGGCCCGAAAATATTTATGACTTCAGAGCTCTTGGATGTCGCCACTCACTTCCATAGGCTGAGCAGCAGCTGCTGAGGCCTGGCAGATGCAACCGGATTCAGAGGGCCCCTCAGGAAACTGCCGTGACTATATAGGATTCAAGAAGAAATCTCTCTTGCGGCTTTGAAGTCCTAGTGTGCTGGTGCTCAGGAGTATACAGTTTGCTGGTTTGCAGAGCAGCTTCCCCTGAACAGCTCAGCGTCTTTCGCCAAGGCACCTCCTGTCCATCAGCGCCGCCCTCGATTTGGATGTCCAAGTCCATGACGAGAACGGCACCTTTCTTTGCTTTGCATCCCCGTAAGTGGGTCCTTGTCGACACTGTTTTGGCGCAACAAAGTCAAAGGGACCCCGAAGAGACACAGGTATACATACTGCTCTTCAGCTGGATATGATAATAGCTTGCACACGCATTTGGTGCGAGATGAGAAGACGTCCAGAAGTCGTAGAGCTTGAACTTTAGCTTCCAGCCAGAAGGTTGCAGGTCTTTGGCCCAATGTTGAAACCAGAGTTCAAGCCTTGAAACACACCTTCACGGCCAAATTCAGTAAGTCTTGCATGCCAAGTACATGCCAAGAACAGTAAGTAGGCGAATTTTCTTTACCGCCGCACCCGAGTAGTCATCAATGCTTTTTTTCAAAGCTAAGCCCATACAGTCCTACAGTGCCAACGCGCAGACTCAAGTAAACTAGAATACGGGATCTCTAAGACTGTATCCACGAAGGTACAAGCCTTAACCCTGTAGCCCTGGCGGGCTGGTCATCGTGTTCGGGGCCCAATATGTATTAAAATAGACATCAACACCTTGGAAACAAAGCCTACCGGTCTTGCAGCTTTTTTTCACTTTTTTCGGTGCTCCGGGGAACCTAAACCGTAAACGAACAAATCTCGGAAGCCTAAATCCCTAAACCCACAGCCCTAAACCCTGCTCTTAAAGCCTTGCGCCCGACTTACTCTCCTGTTGCATCCAAGAATCCTTTCTTGTAGGTTTCGGCACCCCGTGCCGCATCCACGGCTGGAGGAAGCAACGACTGGCCGCAGATGCGAGGTCACCAGATTTGACGAACTTTTGCGCTTCTTTCCGGCTTTACCGTATGACCCATACGCGCTCAGTGACATTAAGGCTTCAGGTCGAGAGTACTTTTCAGACACGAAATGGCACCTTGACGAACGCCCTGGTCGGGCCTTTGTTCGGGATTTGTGTTGAAGCATTAAGGGTCTGCGGTCGTGAGATTTGGAGTTGGAGCCATTGCACACAGCAGGGATGCATTGTTGCGCTCACGGGTTGGTTTGACTTGCACAAGCCTAAACAAGACGCGGTTCTGTCCAAACAGGCAGTTGAACTAAGCATGGGACCGTCCTTTCGACGCTTGGAACTAGAACCCTTGCAAACGGAACCCCGAATCCTGATTGACTGTTAATACTGCATATTACGGCATAGACCTTACGGTGTTAACCCTCGAGTCCAGCCGTCAGCTTAGCCACTAAGCGAGCAGGTCACTGACATCTGTCGAAAGAACGTGCAGCAAGGTCGTAGCGACAGTTGAATGTCACTTCTGTTTACCACAACGCATGTTAGCTCGGACAGGCTCACAGTGTGGCATCCGCGCTTTGCGCTTGACAAACTGCAAACACATTTTCAGAAAGCACAGTGACAAGTCAAAACAGCGTTGAGTTTCCGTGAAAATACCGCTGATATTCAAGACTATTGGCAAAGACTTCGAGAAAATATTTTTGTAATTTGACAACACTATATATAGATAGTCGCGGATGATTCTAGATTTCAGTACCGGCATGTAGAAGGATCAGAGCTTCCTTCGGTTTGGGATATACGGTTTGGCTGTGAGTTGAGCTCCAGTGTCGGATTGCAGGCTGGCGGACTGCGACTCGCAGGGGCTAGGAAACTTGCGAAAGTGGGCCCTTGCGTTAGGTGATTTTTCGCCCAGCAGCGGTTCAGCCTGAGAAAACTTACTTCCGCGTACGAAGGAAAAACTAATCTATCATTCTATCATGATGCAGTATAAAGCTGTAGAGAGCAAAATGACATGATACAAGAAGAGCTCGGTTTGCAAAGGCATGCGGCGCATGTAAACTAGCTTTTGCAGAATCAGAAGCGGGGGCGAACCACTACAAATGCTGGAGCCCGGTCCGGCATGGAAAAGCATATAGCAGGAGGAAGACACATGTGGTTTGGCGTGCAACCTCGCATGAGACATTGAACAGCGCAACACAGCAGAACTCGTTAGAGATGGCATGATACGACGAAAAGCAACGCAACATCCTGACAACATCGTTCAGCACAGTGTGGGCCAACTTACAGCAACTTCCAAGCAACAAACATCATACTGCGATATGGCAGAACCGACCACAGCGCCTGCAGCTGCCCGCTCTGCATGGCCTGAGGACTCTCGACGTGCTAAGTTAAGTCACAACACGAAACCCAAACCCGCAATGTTCTTGTGATTCTAGACATAGACTACCGCCGGCAACGCTCACTGAAACCAAGGCTTGACCCGTAAGGCTCAAGTCTTTCAACGCTGCACGCTATAAAGGGCTTGGGGTTTTAGGGTTTGGGGTTCCGGGGCTTCGCTCTGAGACCTAGAAACGGCTTGCACCGTCCAGCTCTGCTTCAAACCTTTTTGTAAGCTGCCAACCAACAAACTCCAGCCAATTTGGGGACAACACGTGGATTCCTTTACAGCCTGACGAGGCCGGTCCTGCTGCAACTTGGCGGATGTCGATCCCTCGGGCGCGCTCATGGTCGCAGAAACCAAGGTGCCTAGGCGTACTGCTTGGTGGCTTAAGAACTTCTACGAGCGTGTATATATACATATTCTATACACGCACATATATATATATATATATATAGATAGATAGATAATGATAGATATACACATTGTGTGTATATATCTGTGTGTATGCATGCATGCATGCATTGCATTCGTGCAGGCATGCATGCGTATATGTACATGTACATGGACATATGTACATACATACATGCATATGCAATCTTGTGTAGCCGCGCACAAAAACTGCAAGGTTGCATAAGCTTGAAGACCTCAAGGGAGTACCAGTGTCTTTCTGCACTTGCAGCACTCGAACAATCAGGACATGTCTCGTTTCGGTTTCCTGAGGTTCCCGAGGTGATAGGGGGTCAGCGCGAGAAATCAAAGTTTTGTATGACAGCGGCGTCGGGTGTCCTGAACTGGCTGTCCCTTCAAGGGCTCTGGCATATCACGCATCGTCGTGTTTCCTTACATGGGATCTTGGGTTCTCGGTGTGACTCTGCGAGGGGCTGATCCTGGGCACGTGCCTAGTGCGCCCCCGAACCATGCTGTAGGTGTGGGCAGAGCTTGAAGATTTTGCTGTGGTGTTTTAGAGCTCCATGTAGGAGCCGTTGAACATACTGCTCTTCTTCTTGTTTGGGCTGGCTGCGGCTGAGACATCACAAGTGGTATGGCTATTGCGAATGGAACTGCTTTCGACCATGTCGCGATGCTTTTGTTGCAGCCGTTGTGGCTTTGGCTTTGGGGCCGCGGAATGGAAGTATTTTAGAACTCGGAACTCTAGAAATCGACAGCGACAGCGACCAAGAGTTATGCAGCTTCATGGCTGGCTGTACAATCACTGCTGCCAGCCGGCTGTCACCCTCACCTTCGCCCATTGCAACGGCAGCGTTCTCTGCCGTGATTCCTTGCAGAGGCCGGGTCAGGGCATGAGAGGATCCTCTATAATTTCGTAGGATTGGGACCCATGATCTCATGACTTGAAGCTAAAAGCGTTGCCTTTCGGACCTCGTGCCGCTAACCAGAAGCTCCCACACCCGAAAGGTTTGAGCACCTGAAGCCCCAAACCGCATAATTCTTACTTGCATGTTTGGCTTCCCAGTAGGCTAAAGGTTATCTCTGTTGGCCCGAGGACGGTATGAACTCCCAACAGGTCATCCACAGGACACGCCTCAGAAACCATAAACACTTCCCTTAACCTTGAAACCGAAATCCTGAACCATGTAAGCCGTACAACACCGTGAACCTAAGCCCAAACACCCTGAAGACCTAAAACTAAACGTTGCAGAAACCGAACAGCGTTCAATGCCACAGCCCCAAGCTCAAAGACTGTCTGTTGGTTGCAGCCCAAGCAGCCTGCAGCACCGCCTGCCACCGCTGCGCGAGCCAAGACATCAAGCACCTCAGTGAAGGGTTGAGGCTGTGTTTTTGCTTTACCTACGTTTTTTGGACTCGGGCTTTCTCCTAGGAATCAGAGATTGAGGTTTATTGGTCGGATTACGATGCAGGAAAGTAGGATGCAAACCGAGAAGGCTTGCCGGCGAATCTACACTGGGCACTGACGTGGATCATGTGGGCTGTAAGCTTGTAGTGCTGACTGTGGACGATGGTAATCTACGCAAGACCTTAAGGCCCGAACCCCGAAACCCTGAACTACAAAACCACAAACCCAGGCCCACACCACGTCGGAAAGATCTACTGCATAAATTTGGGTCCTTCATAGGGGCCTGACTTTTGCCACGTGTGTGAAGGGCTATACGGGCTCTTGTTTGTGGGTGCTAGAACGAAGTAGGCCCATTGCTTGTTAACTTCACTACATATTTTCCTTAAATGAAAGTCCAGAAATTCCTGCCAGAGCCATCTTGGGGCCCCTAGGTGTGCTCTCGAAGTGCTCCCATGAAGCAAAATTCCGCGAAGTTCGGAGTTCCATGGTCTTCCTGACACCCGCCACAGACCCGTGTGTGCCCTCCACCCATTGGGGGGACTTCGAGCGAATGCCAAACTGATGAAGAGACTGTCGCCGTGGTGGCAGCGCGAGCTGCACCTCGACGCCAAAGTGTACTCTTTCACGGGACCTGATAAGTACTCGCGCGTCCCAGCAATCCACAGCTGTGGAAACACAGCAGGTTGTGACGAAAAAATATGTGCACCGCGCCACAGCGTGAGCAGCGGGAGCCACCGGATGCTCCTGGCACGAACCGCTGGCGGCCCTGGCGCTCACAGTATCCAAACGGTCCTTACTCTGAAAATTTTTCCACGGCAGAAGCCTGCGTTACTGCTCGCTCCCAACCGAAGGTTCCTTGCCCACAGCAGGCTTGGGGTTTTCGCTGTCAGTGGCAGCTCCTACCATGACCAGAGAAGCAAAGGCCAGGAAGGCAGATCGCCCGTTTCGCTCCCCCTTTTCTGTGAATGAGAGTTCACCACAATGTGGCCATATCAACCTGGTCGTCACTAGTGTCGTGTGGTTCAAGGTGCAGCACTTTCGGGCTTGAATTCCACCCTTTGTTGCGTGGCTAAACTTTATGCCATATTCCCACAGAGTAGACAAACACACAAGCTCTGCGCTTGCATGTGGCGCCTTTGCTCTCGCTGCGCTCTTTCTGGTAAATGTCGCAAACTAAAATGAAACAGCCCGTCCTGTTTGACGTCAAGTCACCAGAACTGAACCTTTTTCTAAACCGCCTTTCCATCAAGAATGCCGGCCGCAGACACTTAATATCAAGGAAACTTGAAACGTGCATGTTTCCTCCTGCCCTTCTGTCTGTCTGTCTGTCTGTCTGGCTCTCTCTCTCTCTCTCTCTCTCTCACTCTCTTCCTCTCCCTTTACCAGTTACAAGATCTAAGTGGCGAATCCGAGCTCAAGCTGAGCCACGAGATTCTCAAAGTCCTGTGCACTCCCGGATGCTTCCACGTCGGGATAAGAGACATTGACCTTTGGGTTTGGAGTGTTGCGGCTTTGGATGCGCTTCTCCGATGTCAACGTCGGATTACAGGCTGGGGTTCGGATATGCCTTTATGACAACTGAGGGTAATGAATGGCGATATTTGCCTCTACATGACTACATGGAACTTTCCGCATGTGGCGAGTTTCGGAATATTCGGGCTCTCTCTGGTAACGAGACCCCTTCAACCCGAAGCCAAACCCCCGCACCTGACAACCCTGTAAACACCAACATCTTCGGGCTGGTTTTCTTCATCAGACCACAAAACAAGGCTTTGCGATGCCCAGGGGCAATTGTGAAGCTCATGGAGAGGTAAGACTCGTCCACTACCTGCTTCCCAAGTTCCCAGATTCCCTGAAGTATCATTGGAAAGGCCTTTTCCACGAAAATTGTCGGATTCTTTAAGGTATCTGGGCACACCTCCACAGCTCTCTTGCAGGCTATGCGCTTTCCTTGCCGAGGGTTGTTGGGGTTGGGCGTGCGACTGCATTTTGCAGCCACTGTAAAGGCAAACGCCAGGAAAGATCCAACTAGGCACCCAAGATCGTAACTCAGAGGGTTCCCACTTGCCCCAGTTTGTTAGCCGAGCTGAACGGTAGCTTTCTTTAACGGGGGACCGAGACTATACTCACGGCACGACCAGGTCAAGCCAGGAAACCAAGATCCCTCCAAAATCAAGAACACCTCCCACCGGTACAGGCAGCCCTTCGACGGGAACACAAAGGCCTGCGGGGCGGCCGTGCTTTGGGCCTGGGGTTTCCGGCCTGGTCGATGGCTGCCTTCACCTGCTCCACCAGAGTGATCCGCTTCTTGAGGCTGACGTAGATAAAGCCGAGGCAGACAATATTGAACAGGACCTGGTTGCCGGCTTCAAAGCGAGTAACTAGGCTTCCAGCCGCGCATCCCGGAGGTCCAACCCAGCATGCCATTAGGACCCTTTGGTGCAGCATTACATGATGCAATGTTTTGAAGACTTCTGGCCAGCCTCATGGTTTATGCCAGGGTAGCATGGGGTGTAGCAGGGATCCATTAAGGGTACATCTTGATCACACCGTAGAAACTAAGCCCGTGCACTTCGACCCTTGCGCCCTCAACCCCAAACAAAGCGTTCGGTATCCATGAAACGCTTGAGAGCAGCCTCACATGCACAACAAGCACCGCGACAATTTCTCTTCCTACTCGGGGGCCCGGCCCGGAGGCACGACAGGACACTGACGGTCAGCAACGAGGTTCACAGAGGCAGACAGACCGCACGTCACAAGCTGAAGAGATATATGGTACACAAGCAGAAGCATTGCTAAACAAGGCACCCATACACGGACACAGCGTGCCTCGCGAAGGGAGCTCTCAAGCAGGGTTGATAGAAATTCTAAGGTCTTTCTGGTAATTAGAGTGGTAAGAACACGGTTTGATGGGCAGACCCCGGAAGGAACCCCTGTTTAGACAGCCGGAAATAAGCGCGGGAAGCCCCGGCATCAACACCGCCACCCAACACCAAGTACTCCGGAAGTTCCAGCAAACTCCACACCAACCCAGCACCAACACCCTAAACTGTGCAAAGATCCGTTTTAGGCGAAGCGGCCAGCTGCAACAACATGGCGCGGGTGACGCCAACCATTGACTCCAGAGGAGGTTCCTTTCCTTCTTCTTCCTTGCTTTGGGGTTTCAGGCACTAGGGGTTACGGCTCTAGGATTTGAGCCTCTTTCTTCGGGCTTGTATGGCTTGGGCTTTAGGGCTTGCGGGTTTAAGGCTGTAGGGCACAGTTGATACACCGAGTTTAACTGCATGGCTCCTCTTGCCCACACGTTTCTTATTCTGAATCTCCGTCTTGTGTGCCAGTGTTCTTATCGAAACCCGATAGACCCTAGACCCGACCTGTCAAGCCACCCAGATCGTGTTAACCCCGGTCATGCTGTAAGCAGAGGTCGAAGTCGCCCAGCCCTCAGAGCTCCTGGTTCCCTTGATTGGGGGCTCGGTCCAAGTCGTCTCCGCAGTTCGGATACTATCCTGCCTTGCTCAAGGCCTACGGACATCATAGCGGGTTCGGGTACAGGAGAACTTCGTAAACCTTCAACCGGACTGGGACCTTCAATTGCACGACATAATCGTACTGCACCAAGAAGGACGGCTTGGGAGCTCTTGTGGCATAGTAGGCAGGGTAAGTACTTTGGGGGTTGTTTTGGAACTTTCACGGGGTGCTAAGCAGACTTCTTAAATGGACAGGGCCTGCAAGGAGGTCACTGCAGGCAAGAAAAACCGCGACCTGTTATGACCTTTAATCTCTTCCACAGCCCAAGTTCGAAAATCCTCGGGGTGTTTAGGGTGGCGCCAAGGTGCAAGCTCAAACTAAAACTGTCAAGCACCGAAATCCGTGCTATTCCTTGACCACATGCAAGCCCTTCTTGTACCCTCGAAACCTGGACCCAAATTTGAAGCCTAAGAACCCTATATAAACTAACACCGAAACATGATCACCTTTGTGAGATAAGGTCTGTTGCTTATACTAAGGAGAACCCCATCGCCCAAATCCGGTCCTTTGAGGTGTTTGCGGCGAGAGTGAGGTTTTCGCCTCGAGGTCCTTCCCAAAGCGCGGATGTGGGAGAGTAGAGGGATGTTTCTCAACGGGCTGATGGGTTTCGAAGTTCAGGATTTCGAGTTGAGATTTCAACGACGTCTGAGAGTTTAGGCTCAAAGAGGTGTTAGGGTCAGGGCCGTTTAGAGCTTTCAGGTTGAGGGTTCAATACGGTGTACGCTGCAGGACTGCAGGAACGCATTAAACAGTTTGGGGTTTCGGGCTCATGGAGTTTAGGCGATAGTGGATCCTGGGTTTAGGGTTGAAGTGTAGGCGGCATATTTGAGTTTCCCAAAATAGGGGTACCCTATTTTGGGGCCCTTGTAATAAGGATCCGACCATTCAGGGAACTATATCACGGTAAACCCAAGGTTGAGTGGGTTAACCGAACTTGAGGATTGGGACCCCGTAACGGCCATCTGCGGCAAAGTCCTGGGTCGCCGCATTCACCTGGGCTCAATAGGAGGTGCTTAGCACATCAGGTTTGTTTCGGGATCTTCACAACAAGGATCCTGTGATCCTCGGCTGTACGACGTTATCATGGCCCAGTGTTCGTTTGCGGGCCCTCAAGCCGAAAGGGCTGACGTCAAGTTCTGAAAGTCTGTCTGTTTTGCGCTTTGGACGTGGGGCCGCGGTCTTCTGGGGCTCTCAACCCGCTCAATTCTTGCAGCCTGCGGAGATCAGCCTCAAATAAACTTGAAAAACAACGGGTTTGAGCGTGTGAACCCTACTTCTTGAATCTGACCCTCGGGTGCGACGTCGCAGCTGCCTTCTAAACGTAACGTTCGGGAGCCCCCTCTTCCTTGGTCCAACCTCGGTCCTGATCTGGAGCACCCCTGCTCGGAGCTCAACAGAATACACAAACATCAGGCTCTCCCAATGATGTGCGGTTGTCTGAAAAACACATGTTCGGTTGAGAACGGTGACATACAGCACTACTACAACGGTTTCACGCAGGCCTTCTCGCTAGGAATTTTGGGCAACCTAAATGCTCGGCCGAGCTACCTTGTGCGCCCTGAGCCCCTTTGGCACCGGCCATGCCCACATCGCCAATGAGCTCTGCTGGCACCTCGAAGAGTCTTCAGGCAGCTTATATAGTGGCTTCTGACTGTTACGTTTTGTGTGCACGGCGTATACAGGTTTTGAAGCGAAGGTAAGGGTTGTCTGCGGATTCTGCACGGGCAAGTGCCCCTTTACCAGGGTCTCTATCATGTACCCCCTAATCAAACAATCTTAGAAATGCGGTCGGTCAACTAATCAGCGGTCTGCATGCAAGCTTTGAGTCATGCTGAGTTTACGGCTTAGTGCTTAGAGCTTGAACTCTCGGGACCCATGATCCTTGGGCAAGTCTTCGTGGACACCTCTGCCAAGCAGACAGATGAAACCCGAAGACCCCCTGAAAGCTGGTTATCTGGAGCTCTCAGTGCGCCTTCTGCGCTTGGCTGTCATTCGAGACGAGCGACAGCTCGGACTATTCCACAACCACACGAAGAGACCCGGATAGGTCTATTCGTTGAAACCGGAATTCAAGAAGCAAGAGACTGCCTCATGGGCCACTCTCTCCTCGCACTATGGGTCCAGGTCCGGTCATAATCCCCCGTGAATGCCCGAATCTAAAGCCTTGATGGCCTCCCCCTTCTACTGTGCCCAGGACGGTTTCCGAAGGGCTCATGGTTGGTTTCGACTCGCACACTCGCACACTTTACAATTAAGGCTCTCCCCTCAAAAGTACAACAGCCGGGGCCCCACACCACAAGCTTCTACGGACCAACCTGCCAACCGCAACTCCCACACCCGTCAACCTAAGCCTCGGGACCCAAGCTCGGAAGTATGTTGGCTCATGCAAGCCCCATTTTTTCGAACATAAGCGGTGTATAGCAGGATGCCTGCAGCAGAAACCGATACAACAAGCCTTGTTCAGAGAAGCCCCCATGTCCATCCCGAAACTCAAAATCCAAGTTATGACTCAGGGAGAATTCCTGCAGATCCTGGAGAAGACCATCTGATAAGACACACGGCGAAATAACAACTCACACACAAACCGCAGAATCCGAGGTCGATACATCGTAGGGGTCCAGATGCTCCCCGCTGTCCACAGTCGGTTTTCCAGTCTCGACAGTGCTTTCAAGTTTAGGTTTTCCGGAGTCAGGGTTCAAACGAGGGGTTTCGAGGGCGGGGCGAAAGAAGAACAACAATGATGACAATCATGGCCGGGCCTGTTTTACAGGTACCTGGTGCCACCTACCAACACTCCTCCCGAAAGATGCTGCCTCCTCAGAAGCAGGTTCGCCACTCTTTTAGTGTCTTCGGACGAACTCTACTGCAAGAGAGGGCTCGTACAATACGGTGATGCTGCAGCAAGGATGATGATATCTGAAAGTGCAAACACTAGCCGTAGCCCAAACTCCAATATGCAACTGCTCCACCGATCTCTGCAAATACATCTGAAGTCTCAACGCAGGAGTTGGATGAGACCACCGCGGCTGGAACCCTGGACCTCGAAAGCCAGGTTTTTTAAAAGATGAACCATGCGAACGACAGCTTAAAGGACATGACAGCATGCATCTGCGAGCCTTGCCGTCCTGAGTGGTCATGGGGCCTGCGGCAGATGCGCTGTTGGACACAGAGTGTCGGCTAATGTTTGCCCGCAGTGATGCTAGGACATGCGGCAGGTACTCGGGAACTTCTTATGTGTCATCAGCGATGACAAGCAGTAAGATTGGAAGGACGGCGCAACAGAATCCAGGGTTTGGGGTTTGCAGCACATGATGGGACGGCAGTGTAGTATCGACCCCTGGAAGAATCGGATTCCTTTTTGAAGACCCTAGAAAGGATTCCCTCCTACGGGATAACACTCTCCGTAGTAGTTCCGACACCCTGAAGCTCAAAGGCTCAACACTGAAGATTTGGATGCACGGAAGTCACTCGTGAGGTCCTTTGGAGAAAAAGCAATCGCAACATTATCAGAATGAGACAAGGATATGTAGGGAACACATTCCAACACCATGTAAGCAACAGCCATACTTCAAGCCCCTCAATTCCACCCTCCCCCTCGCGCCTGCGTGAAGAGAGCTTTCGAGTTTCATCTCGGCATGAGCAGGGATATGTCTTTGGGACTCTACAGGCGAGGCTCGGAAGACTGCCGGGTGAGCGACTGACATTTGTTTTGGTGCAGACCAGTGCTGTTTGCTGTCTCTTTGCCAGCCTCTCTGTAGGGGCAGTGTAACCCCCGGCAAAATGTTCCAGCACTCCGGTGTCGAAGGTGGCACTTCCACCGTGACACATGGAACGAGTGTCTGATAAATTGTGAAACACCTCCGGCAGAAGACTAAAGGCTACCCACAATTACAGAACTGCACTCCCCCAAGCCCGTCAACTGAAATCTTCCACAGCTGCTTCCGAGCTTTCTGGAGCCTTCTTGATGCTAAGTGCCCTGGACAAGTTCTCTTCCGCTACACCTTGCAAGGTTCTTCTGGCATCCTTTGCCTGAAGTCTGAAGCCGCCACCTCCGCCAAAGCCATTAACGGAATATTCGAAAGTGCCGGTGATCTTCTCTTCAGAGATGGTGCCGCGATATTTCATGTAGTCGCTGCCTCCTCCCACAATGCAGTCCCACGAGATGGATGTGCTCAAAAAGTGTCCTGTAAACGCATAGATTCGGACCCGCCCAGTAAATGTGGTGGCGCCAAACTGGTTGTCAAGAATGAATGCTATAGACACACTGCTCTCATCGAAGCCGTTGTAAATTATTGCTCTGGGGTCTTTAAACTCCTCCGCGACGGCACAACATGTACATCCCATCTTGCTCTGTCAGACGGCAGCAGGAGGCGCTGGCAGTTGGCTCAAGATCATCTAAGATGCCACCTGAACTGTTAGACAAGTTTGTGGGTGCATTTATCGACAGAGGCTCTCCGCTACTAACTATACGATGCTAATACGTTAAAGACTCTTTCAACTTCGATCGGCAATTCTGGCGGCCACTTTTCAAGCTGCCTTCTGATTGCCTTGAGTATATGGCTGTGCTTTGAGGCGGTGGTTTGGATTCCAGGCTTCGGGTTTTAGCCCAGGCACTGAAGATCTCAAAGCCTGTGAGCCTCAGGTACCTCTCCACAACCGTTGGACAGTCTTCTCATGGATCGTCAGACTTGTAGTTTTGGCGTTCTAATGTGCTGTTTCCATAAATTGTGTGGTACTTACACGGCGGATTTCGAGCAGTTCCCCTTTTGGGCCAGTGGCACCGCAGGTTGGCGGTTGACAGCCAGGCAGCTCGGATTGTGTAAGTCTCGGGAGGCTCAAGGACGAGGAAAAAGGCTCGGAACCCGAGGATCAATAAATCCATTGTCATTTTGACTCATACATGTACCTGGACAGGCAGCTGTATCAGTGTAGGGGTATCAAACGCACGAAGCAACCAACTTAAGCATGCCCAAGGCAAACGCATCATGTCATCGGCGCTAGTAAACTTTTGTATTGTGTGCCCCAGCTGGCAGTTTTACGAACAAGACTGCAATGGTTCAGCTGCTGGGTGCCAGTCCACAACGATCCTCCCAACACCCTACACCCGAATCTTAACAAGCGAGATCTTCCACCCACTAGGCCCTCCAACCTTTCAGTCAGTAGATTCGTACAACATGCGGCTCTAACGTCCTTCAACCCTAAACCCTGAACACGCTTAACCACGTTCAATGCGTCCAGACTGCAACGAAATCTACAACCCCAACACCCTGGTGCTTTTTGTTTGAACCTAGGCTCTGATCCTGTTCAGCCGGGAAGTCGGCCACACCCACGCTCCCCACAAGGCCCACAAGATGCGTCTGAATTCCGAAACCCGCTGAACCCTAACTCCCTCCGGCCCCGCACCCCGCCATTGAAAGAAGAACACGCAAACATAAATAAATACGCACACACACACACACAAACACTTTAAACCCCCAAATCACCAAAGACACAACGAGACATACAGACGCACTGCAAAGGCCCCAGATAATGACTAAAGCCGGAACTACCCGGCTCGCTGGCTTGGGCATCGCACCAGGCCCCGGTGGATTCCGAGCTCGGAGACGGCGACCTGAGCATCCGAGCCCGGAGAAGGGCTCGACAAACCGGAGCCGGGGATGTTCTCTACAATGAAGTACAGTAACACCAGAATCAACGCCTGCTAAGGGGTTTTGACTGTGGTCCCTTCTTTTATGAAACTCCCAGATCCCAGAGCCTGAACCATGATTGCAAGCATCCGTAAGTTTTGGCTCCCTATAAGCAGCTTGGGGCCAAGGGTCCGGGACTTTTTCCTTAGGGTGCTGCAGGGCTCAGAACGGTAGTAGATTTTGAGCCTTTAGGGCTGTTGCGGTTTATGTACCGGTCTACGCCGAGCGTTAGACCGTTGATGCTTGCAGTATCTGTTCCAGGCACTATCTGCCCAACCCGACCACGCATACAATCCTACGCGGGTGCAAGACTTTGGGTGCTTCGGGGTTCCGACGTCATCGAAGTTGAGCATGGGGTCTAGATTGTACAGTAGTCAGCCAGAAACGATAGGATACGTCTTATGGCGGGATAGGGAGCGGGAGGGACATGGTGCTCAAGGGTCGGGCGCTTTCGGGCATAGATTCAGATCTTCGGGTCGCCTGGTCTTATCAGAGTGAAGTTCCGGATGCCTTTCCCGCAAACTTGACTTCTGAAGGCTAAGACGTTCGAGACCCTGAACCATCTCCCCAAAATGGGTCATGGTTACTTGCCAGCTATTTGATTTTCACTGAGAGCCCAATCCTCCCTATCAGGAGTATTCCTTGCAGTGCATCGGGTCACTGTCTTACGGTGTAAGGATTAATCCCTGAGATGGTCGGGTTGTAGGGTGCTCGAGCTTCCCAGTAGGTTGCACCCTTCATTGGGGATCCAGTCTGTGCGACATAGTATGCCATACGAGACTGTCAGGATACAGCCAAATGTAAAGTACAGAGTGGAGGCCAAGCTAGAAGACACCCATAAAACCTGAGCCCGTTTTGTGAGAAGTCCTGTTCCAACTGCCAGGTAAAATGACTACACTTCGAAGGTTGGGAGATCCAGCAACAGTGCCCACACACCCAACAAAGACTGTTTTGCATGCATCCGCGTCGACTGTATCATATCTGACAACAATCCGAAATTTACAGACCATCTGTGAGCAACAAACCCCAAGCATCCTTATCTCCTATATAAACTCCTTCAGCCCTACCACCCCAGAACCATCTTGAATCCCCCGCTGAATCTCTAAACTCTAAACCCGAACACTGACCAGAAGGCAGACCGCGATTTGGTGCTGCAGACTGCGATGACGGCAGTGCTTGGGAGGACGGCGCGGGACGACACTGATAGCAGATCGATGCAACTATCCGCTTTGTGCCTAGTTGAGCTCTAAATCCTCAATCCTACAACCCGCAAACCCTGAGCCGTTTTGCCGACAAAGTTGCGGCAGGGCGCAGGCCAAATAGATACGCGGCAGCTGTGACGATGTGCATGGTACCGCCTTCCGTGGGACGCTAAAGGCGCTGAATGCTCATGGGCTGAAAAACCCTGCTCAGCACTGTCTTCTACTAGGGTACATAGACTAACACATGGGGGATTTCTCATCTGGAGTCCCTTCTGGGAATCTGGCTTGCTGTCGGGTCCCCGATTTCTTTCAAACTCCAGTCCAGACAGGCATTGACGGTCAACCTGGCATTTCGGCACCATTCCGGGTGTGCTGATATAGTTCACCTGTCTGAAGTATCGGAGGTCACAAAAGTCTGCCCCCAAACCTCCCGTGAGCCTCAGAATCCTAATTGGTCTTGGTCTTGACATCTGGTTTCTCCAACCAAATCAAGGACCGAACATACCTTGAAACGCTGCGTGCCAACACCAACGGAGTCGGGTACACCTCAAATGCCCTTTTCCATGGCCTCGCATGGTGAATATGAAGAAACTGAAATTTGCAGGCCGCGGTGACGCTTCGTTGACCTCAGGCACGGGACTCGAAAACGACATGGCCTAACCCTGGTGACGACAGCAGCAAGGCTACTTGGAGGCATCAGCGATGCAGATACTGAACGACCAGTGGCTATGCCAGGAAAAACCTGGTACGGTAGTTGTTGGCTTGTGGTGAAGGCGTGTGCTGAGACATCCCTGTGTTTCCTATCCCACAATCATTTTGTTAAGACGTGTGTTGGAGTAACTGGGGTAAGAATGCTTCAAAGAGTTCTCATCAACCGCCATGGTAGCAATGGCAGCAGCAGAATTTGCACACCGAGGCACGGAAACAAATAACGCACCTTTGTCAACAGCGGTTCGTGAAGCAAGCCTGGCCACCGAGACCCCTCGGTCTGACTTCGTTATACCCAAAGCCCGAAAACCTTCCATCTCTTTGGCGCGAGGCTGAAAGGGAGCGATGCCTCAAACAGGAAACGTTTTCACATTGTACCGTAGAAATCTACACGACGATAGTGAAAGTGAGCATTGCGTGAACATAGGAAGTTCAGTAACCTTTAACTTAACACACTATGGAGCTCTGGTTGTGGATTGCATGGTCCCAGTGCGGGAATGCAGGAACTGGATCCAGTCTCTCGCCCTTCCTGCCTAGCTCCGTTGTCCCCTCTCACTCGCCCTCTCTCCGTTGTCCCCTCTCACTCGCCCTCTCGCTCTCTCTCTCCCTCTGTCTCTTCCGTTCTCTCCCTCCCTGTCACTCTCTCCCTCTCTCTCTCTCGCTCTCTCTGTCTCTTGTCTCTCGCTTTCTCTAGCTAAAGCCCTAAATAGAAGTCCTTAAAACCAAAACTGTTTCTCCAAATAGAGTCAAGTGGAGCCAAGAGACACCGATGTTCAGCTGCACGGCTCGGGACCGTCAAAAAGATACGGAGCGTTGGGACTTCGGAAAAGCCCTGTGGAGCCCAGACGGCGAAGACACTCGGCTTCAGGGTTGAGATCCTTCTACTAGAACTTACGACTTCTTGCCAGGATTTCGGCGAAAAGCCAAGCCTAGGCGGTAAGACCGAACTGTTTTGGGGTTTACAGGATTCAGAGGAGTTTAGGTGCTTAGTGGCTTAGGGTTTGGGGTAAGGGCAGTATTGGATCCAGTCCTCTGGACCTTTGGCGCGGGGATTTGGGTTGGATTAAGGGCAGCCGTAGCCCCTGACCGAAAATGCACTTGCACAAAAGATGACACGAAAGATTTCAGAGGCAAATGCGGTAAGCATGCCAAGGAAGTGAGGCCCCTTCTCTGATCAGGGTGCATCCCGGATGCACACTGAACAGCTAACAGGCCCAAACAGAAGAAGCCGCCAAAAGCAAAGTCGCTGCGGCAGCTCTAAACCCATTGGGAGTTTCAGATTTAATCGACCCCAACGCAAACCGTAAGCTGTTGGATTCGCATTCTGGTCAGAAGGACTTAGCTAAAGAAGCGCATGTGCCGGGTGCTTGGCTGCATCGAAGTTCGTGCACAAGCTCCGATCCTCAATGGCCGTTGCAAGCCACCTCCGACTAGTTGCAAAATAGGATTTAGGGATTGGCTTTGCCCGGCCGCGCGGCTAGGACCAGGGAACTCGAGATACCACAGCATACACATGTCTGAATACATGACTGAACTTATATTCATATATTCATATATATATATATACACACATACACTTTCTACTATTTACTACTATAGAGGGGAGAAAGACACACTAGTTCCGTAATTGTGGCAAAATCACCCCCATTTGAAGGTTGCGACTCGTCGCGGTCTTACAAGTTTATGGTTCATGGCCAGGGTTAGTAGAAGCGACAATGAGGTTGAACATCAGATTTCCTGGCGTCTG